CTACTATTAAAATAAACAGTATTGAAGAGCCTATTACGATTGCCGGGACATTGATTTTCCCACACTGAGCATCAGTTGAAGTTGTTCCTTCTGTTACTGTAGAAAGGCTTCTGTGTTCACACCTGCAGCCACAGAGAGACATGTTCTACAGGTGATGTTTTAAAATACAAATTCAGTGCATGGATCATTTCAGACCTGGAATGAACACATGTCCTAAGACTTCAGATTATGGCTGGGCCAATTCATTTTCCATGTTGGGATCAATACAGTATATTAATAATCTACCAACTGACCAATAGGAAGAGTAGGACTGTTAGTAGCTGTGGAGAATAAGGTGACCTCTGTATTTGAACATCAGTGTTAGAACCACTCCAATGATGAATGACGTTAATAGATGATAATGGATGAAAGGAGGAGACTGAATTCAACACTGACAGTTCATATGGAACTCTGAACAAAGTCTGATCTGTTGAAGTCTTGGATTGGATCATGCAGGTTTTATGTCACATTAAATGTCTCACTTACTGTGTGTGTGGCCGACAGACAGTAAATGTACCATCAGAAAATGTCCCAGAAGTGCAGTCAGAACACTCAGTGTCTGTGGCTGCTGTTCCTGTGGGAACACACATGAACACAGATACTTGGAAAGACATGTTGTTACAGGGTTAAAGTCCTTCATGATGTTAGTGTTGAACCCAGATGTCACCATTCATTCAGTATATATATACACATCAGTGTTTCCCAAACTCCAGCAGAAAACATCACATAGCACAAATGAGTTTTCAGACCAATGAAGTCCAACTGGATCATTTCCCACAGTTCACCTGAAGATCCCTCACGGTGCACTAGTGTGGTAAATCACACACACTTCTGGCATTCATTGGAGAAACAATCCAGTGCTGTGATGTTCTGGGATAGATTGCTCTTCCTGACTTATTGTCCATTCATAGTACAACTGTCCAAACTAATTTCCAATGACATCCCAGACTTCAACTTTGATTTTCTTTCTTTCCACTTGGAAAGACATGTTGTTTAAATCTTATCTTTCTTTAAAACTGGTTCCAAAGCTACACTGCCTCCAACGTAGCTGTTAACAGCAATCAATTACTATGAAGTTACCATTAATGACATGAGTGTCATTGATTAGTGCAGTAACAACAAAGGCTCATTCACAATACCATTATTTCTGATGTACTGTCCTGGTTGACACCTCGTGTGGTTCTGTGCTGCTGTACAGTGGTTCTCTGTCCTGTTTATACAGAAGAATCCGTCCAGAGGTTCACATGTTGTATCCTGCACCACTGTGCATGGGGTCAGAGTCTTTAGACCCAAGTCTGTCAGGATACAAAGGTGACAAAGGTCAAATGTAAAGGGTGACACAGTGGAAGTAGAACAGGAACAAACATGTTTTAGTGGAAATAAAGCTTTCCTAGACAATATACACTTTATATTGATATAGTGTATTGCACTGTATTACAATACATTTAGAAAATACTTTTATCCAAAGCAACTTATTGCTGTTTTTAGTGTCTGCACTGGCAGACAACGCAAAGTCCTACATGTACTGACTGCAGAGGAAAGGAGAACAGGGAACTTGAAATCACATGCAGTATCTTGTGACTCAGTCATGTGGTGATAGGGAAATACTGGTTGGAACATTGTCAAACCAGATATTCACTGAAATTCAGTTCACAACATGTCACATTCAGGTGTCAGCAGCATTTGGAAGAACGACTAGGTAAGAGCTAGGTAATGTCAGCAGCATTCTACTGGAACATAATACATGAGATCTTCTGAGATAAAGAGTATTTACCTGGACTACACAGTGTACATGCAAAGCATTCTCTTTCTCCATTAAAATCATTTGTGAATGTTCCTTCGACACAGCGACGACAGGAGGTGCTCCTGATGGCTGTGCAGTTTTTTTTCACAAAGGCTCCTTTAGAAAACACAACAATGTGAAGTTATAGTCCGTGTTGTAAAATGTCTGGTCAGTTCCCCTCAGTGAAGGTGGACCTTAGAAAACATTTAAAGGTCCCTGAACACATCACCCAGACCAGATCATGGCTCACCTGTGTGTGAGTGGGGTATGATGTTAAAAGACCCAAAACCCCAATGACCCCAGGAAGATCAGTGATGATGCATCCCAGCACATCCTAGAGATGTATGTAAATTCCTAACATTGTGTCCAAATTCCAATGAGACAAATGTGATTCATGAATCTGGTCAATACAAACAAAAATAAAATCGATCTAATTACTACTTCCAGTTTTTAACTCAAATTCAAATCCAACTTCAAGGCGTCCACTGATCCACCTGACTACTGTACTTTACTTTGAAAGTCAGACTAATGTCATTGTTCAGTGTTTGATTCTGGGATAATCCTCTCCTCATATTTTATCACTCAGCTAAAGCTTACCTGGATCACATTTAGGACAGCACTTATCTCCAACTGGGTACTCTGATGGGGGGCAACCTAGAGCCCCTCTAACAAAGGTGGTTCCGAGCACCTGTGCAAAAAAAGAGGAAAGTTCTTCATCTCTGAGTTAGAGGTTTCTATGAGGAGAGGATTTTGACAAGGCTTAGGTTTAACACCAAGCAGGTAAACTGGGAAAACATTTAAACAACAACAGTATTATATTTCATTACATAGACTTTTGTGGCAACTTTGTTTGGTGGTGAGCTGAGGATTCTTCTAATGTTAACACAATGCTGACAAATGTTTTCTTATCAGTGAGTCATTACCTGCCATGTCCACACACACACAGAACTAAAACCAACCAGCTTTAACTTTTGTTCCATCAGAACAATGAGAAGGTGAAAAATATCTTTAAAAAGTGACAGATTATGAAGTAATGATACTTTACCAACAAATATGTAGATGGACAAAATGTTTTAAAGATCAACATTTTCACGATGGAAGACTTTCTTCAACTGGGGACGTCGTCACATTCAGATGTGGAGTAAGTCGAGTTGTGACACCTGAAAACACAGACAAGTTCTTTGGTTGGATCTCAAAACAGATTTCATTTCTAACGCGATCATTTGGAAATATACCCTCCGTTCTTCCGTGTTACAGAGGACATTTAAATCTCCCTTAACTCCCGCACAGAGAGAGACATTGTTTACTCGCAGAAGATCGTTTTAATTTTACCCTTGTACATGAAACGAAACAAACTCAACAAGAAAATATGAATCGAGGACAAGTACCTTGTATTTAGTTTTTTTCTTTTCTGTCGCCCTTTGTCCAGAAACGTTTGTATTTGTTTTCCAAACGGCCATGAATACTTCCGTGACTGAAAATAAACACACAAGACAAATCGTACATAAACAGAAAATACAGAACTGCGTAGTTGGTTTTAGTTCGGTTGTTTTTCCAAATGTGTTCACGCCCTCCTTTAAAGGCACAGACACACATCTAAATGATTATATTACTATATCAATATGTTGCACTTTTCTTTCATATAATCTGTTTCGTATCTTTTCTAAATGTCCGCACTGTGGAACAAATAAAGGATTTTTTTCCGATTTCATCTACTTCGTAGACCAGCGGAGGCCAAACTGTTCCAAATATCTGCTTTGGCTGCAGGTCTTTGTTCCAACAGAGCAGCAGCACACCTGACTTGACAGGTTTAATAAACTGGTCTCAGTCTCCAGACAGATAACTGGTCAAATCATTGTAGCCACACGTGTTGAAGGAAAGTCTGGACATGCCTGTTGTAAAACTTCCAGTATTACCGCAGTATAGTTTTTCGTGTCAAAGATCTGAAATTTCGGACAGGTATATGTCATTGCATATCTCACTACTACATATCAGGAGAGAAGGGAAACATGCACAATTGCGTCAATATTTCAATAAAATTTAAGTTTGGCCCATGTCTTCGTTCCAGTTTTAATTTTGGCCCAGTGTGATTTGAGTTTGACACCTCTGCCCTAAAGTGACGGGGGCGGGGGGTTGATGCCGGTGTCTTAGATTTCCCATACGTACATGATTGATTTTTTTTTTTTAATGTATTACCCTATATGTATGTGTGGAAAAATGTCTTATCGTTTATTTAAATAGTTTTTCCCTTTTAGGCTAGAATATTATTATATTTCACAAAAATAATGAAAATATTATATATGAAGAATTACAACATTTTTTATGTCGCGAGATTATATATTAAAAATCCGCGATTTACTGAGGAAGCGAAAGTAGAATCGCGATAAAGAGAGAGAGAACTGTAAGGTGAAAGTTATCACGTAATTACGTGAAACTTATTACGAAAACACAACAATGTGAAGTTATAGTCCGTGTTGTAAAATGTCTGGTCAGTTCCCCTCAGTGAAGGTGGACCTTAGAAAACATTTAAAGGTCCCTGAACACATCACCCAGACCAGATCATGGCTCACCTGTGTGTGAGTGGGGTATGATGTTAAAAGACCCAAAACCCCAATGACCCCAGGAAGATCAGTGATGATGCATCCCAGCACATCCTAGAGATGTATGTAAATTCCTAACATTGTGTCCAAATTCCAATGAGACAAATGTGATTCATGAATCTGGTCAATACAAACAAAAATAAAATCGATCTAATTACTACTTCCAGTTTTTAACTCAAATTCAAATCCAACTTCAAGGCGTCCACTGATCCACCTGACTACTGTACTTTACTTTGAAAGTCAGACTAATGTCATTGTTCAGTGTTTGATTCTGGGATAATCCTCTCCTCATATTTTATCACTCAGCTAAAGCTTACCTGGATCACATTTAGGACAGCACTTATCTCCAACTGGGTACTCTGATGGGGGGCAACCTAGAGCCCCTCTAACAAAGGTGGTTCCGAGCACCTGTGCAAAAAAAGAGGAAAGTTCTTCATCTCTGAGTTAGAGGTTTCTATGAGGAGAGGATTTTGACAAGGCTTAGGTTTAACACCAAGCAGGTAAACTGGGAAAACATTTAAACAACAACAGTATTATATTTCATTACATAGACTTTTGTGGCAACTTTGTTTGGTGGTGAGCTGAGGATTCTTCTAATGTTAACACAATGCTGACAAATGTTTTCTTATCAGTGAGTCATTACCTGCCATGTCCACACACACACAGAACTAAAACCAACCAGCTTTAACTTTTGTTCCATCAGAACAATGAGAAGGTGAAAAATATCTTTAAAAAGTGACAGATTATGAAGTAATGATACTTTACCAACAAATATGTAGATGGACAAAATGTTTTAAAGATCAACATTTTCACGATGGAAGACTTTCTTCAACTGGGGACGTCGTCACATTCAGATGTGGAGTAAGTCGAGTTGTGACACCTGAAAACACAGACAAGTTCTTTGGTTGGATCTCAAAACAGATTTCATTTCTAACGCGATCATTTGGAAATATACCCTCCGTTCTTCCGTGTTACAGAGGACATTTAAATCTCCCTTAACTCCCGCACAGAGAGAGACATTGTTTACTCGCAGAAGATCGTTTTAATTTTACCCTTGTACATGAAACGAAACAAACTCAACAAGAAAATATGAATCGAGGACAAGTACCTTGTATTTAGTTTTTTTCTTTTCTGTCGCCCTTTGTCCAGAAACATTTGTATTTGTTTTCCAAACGGCCATGAATACTTCCGTGACTGCAAATAAAGACACAAGACAAATCGTACATAAACAGAAAATACAGAACTGCGTAGCTGGTTTCAGTTCGGTTGTTTTTCACGCCCTCCTTTAAAGGCACAGACACACATCTAAATGATTATATTACTATATCAATATGTTGCACTTTTCTTTCATATAATCTGTTTTCTACCTTTTCTAAATTTCCACATTGTGGGACGAAAAAATGATTTTCCGATTTCATCTACTTCGTAGATCAGCGGAGGCCAAACTGTTCCAAATGTCTGCTTTGACACGTCTGTTGTTAAACTTACAGTGATACTGCAGTATAGTTCTTTTTGTCAAAGATCTGAGATTCCGGACTTCTCACTTTCACGGAACGCACCATCAATGTGGGTGCAGCCAGGTGACGTCACATGTTGCTGATCTTTTACTGTAGTAACTCGAAATTGCTGCATGAAATGTGCGGTTTAAATACATACATTTCACACTGAAGTATTGCTTCAAATTAGTCACAGCAGTACAAACTGACGGCACGTCCATAAACAATGTCAATATCTGAAACATCACATACAAACTCACGTTCAGCTTTGACTCTCCCACCTGGCGGTGTGGATCCATATTCCAGTGTACTGACTCTGACAAAATGCAGATTAATTTTCCCACTTGTTGTGTATAGTTTCCTCTTCGAGCTCGTTGTACAGTTCTCTTGATGTCTGTCACCTACTACCAAGTAGTGACTACCTGTCCTGCTGTACGTTGTACTGAACAGCATTTTTAGCCTTCGTCCCGCAAACTGGAGATGTTTCCCCGCTTCTTCATTACTTCAATGAAAATAAACATTTTTATCTGTCTGACTGTCTATGGGCACGACTGTCAGTGCTGTCCACAGCCATGATAGGCCACTTCACAGATAAGGCGGTCGCTGAGAGGCGGAGTGAGGTGTCAATCAAACTGCTGACTCGTAGTATGAGCACACACTTTTCAAATCAGACAACGTGCAGTTGACGTGATACTGTGAGGGCTGTGCAGTGTGCGAAAAAAAGAAGATGCCACTTTAGTAAAAAAAACAAAAAGGACATCAACATATCAACATATCCCTGGCTAAGACCGGTGGATGGAGATTCTGAACCAGCATTCTGCAATTTGTGTAAAAACAAAAAGATTTTCTGTCGGACATGGGCGGGGTAAATTCTTTGTGTAAAATGTATTTAAAAATAAATATATGTAGTTACGGCCCCTGAATCTTGTTATAGCCTAGGTTTTAACTTTTGGTTGGTTTTCTGCTACCAATGTTTTAGAAACGTGCTATCCATGGTGCAGAGAAAGGCTGTTGGCCTGCCACCTGCTGGATTGTGATGTAAAATGTTTTTGGTAGTGGTGGGGTATTTTTATTTTTTATTTTCATCACAGATTACCATATAATGCACAATAGATGTTGGTTTTACAGACACCTACTTATATCGAAGTGTTTCATTTTACATCAGGTATAAACCTTATAGTCTTATTTTATGTTGAATGTGGAAGAATGGAGATAATGTATTAATAAATATGTTACATATTAAAAATGTGTGTGTTTCTAACCTAAGCTTTAGCAACCTTTAGATTACCGGTATGTTTTGTACTATAGATTTTCTGTTTGTTTTTTGTGGGGGGTAAAGGCGAGATACGTGTATGGTGCTTGGTTTAAAAAAAATAGATAGAAAAATATTGCTGCTGTCCCACATTGACCCACTCTTGTGACCTCAATACTTGTTTATGTTTAAACCTAGAGGAAGTCGAGTCGTCATCTAATCAGAAAATAAAACGACCAGTAGCCAACGGCGGATTGAGAAAGAGAGAGAGAGGCGGGGTTTAGTGTTTGAATTCGAAGCGCGTAAACGTTGTGCATTTTCGACTCTTATCAGCAAACGGCTTGGGAGTAGATGACCACCTCCAAACTCACAAAATATGAGACAAGTAGCAGGTTTGAGTGGGACAATGAGGGACAGCAGCAATCATTTAGAGCCAACTTTTTTTTTTTACCAATAACATGCACGTATATCGCCCTTTACCCCCACAAAACCAACAAAAACTCTATAGTACCCAATGCAGTTTTTGTTGGTTTGTCCCCCGTGAGTCAAACGTCAAACTCTGTTTGACGCCTATGTTAGCCAGCTTGCCTACAGCAGAGCCACCACCAAATGATCGCCAAGACTCCCTAGCAACCTGACCTGTGACAACAGTACCAAGCCTCCCATGAAGCGAAACTACACAGCGCATGGCACACAACTGAAGCACACTGGCAGCCAACCATAAAGTTCAACCCTGTTATCACAATCAGAAGATGCTCAACAACAGTTGTTACAGTATGGTTGTTAATACAGTACAGGTCTACACATGTTAAAATATAAATAACGTGTCTTACCTAGTGCAGAAGAAAACACCGCAAATTACATGATCGTTTTGTCTTTCCAATTTGTGTAGATTTTCGATAGAGCAACATAGGCGGAGTTTACGGGGGAGGGCACTGACTCTCCATTGGCTGAAACAAACTGTCAACTGTCAAACTCCGCCTATGCATTTTACTTCCGCTTTTGAAGTGTCATTGTTATCGATGCTTTCCCAGTAGTAGGAGTTGTTGAATGTTGAATTCCTGTTATTCTCGGTTTACCTTGGTTCTGTGCTGTATGTTTTTAACCTCCACCCCTGTTTGATTCTCAACATGGATTCTCAACTATATTTGTTGTCCATTCCTGTGTTGGGTAACCAGTAAATGATCAGGTCAGAACAAAAAAATAAATACTGTATATATTTGTGTGTATTATTTTAAACGGCCCCTCTTCCAAAATTAGTAATCAAACATATTTTTTTAATTCATATTACACTTCATAAAATATGAATACTAATACAGTATGTTAAATATTAATAAAATACAGAAACATACTACTACTGCAACTGAAATGATATTTCTAACATTTAATTGTTTGATTTTGTTTAACATAGATGTAAATATATGTAAATATCAATAGAGTCCTGTGCATCACATGAATAGAACCTTCTTACAGCAGTATCACATGGAGGCTGAATATGCTACGACATCACTACTATTACTAACACTTACTGCTACTTATCACCTAAAAATGTTCTGTTATTCAATGTTGTCAAATTACCAACACATTTTAAACTGGACAAAGAGCTCATTCCAGCCAAAAATGAAATGTTGAGTAAAATCTGCTAAACTACAATCCAAGTGTATGGATCAGAATCAGAAACGGTTTTATTGCAAGGTAGGTTTCCACCTACGAGGAATTTGTTTTGGCATACAGCACAACAGGCTAATACTGTAGGGTATAAACAGAGCAGTAACACTGTAGATAAAAAAGAGCAGATGGAGGTGTAGAAGCTCACCATCGTTGTCTTTGGCCGTTTGAACTGTTTCAGCTCCAACAGGAAGGTCATCCTCTGTTGTGCTGAGTAGTAAAGGGCTTAAAGTTAAGATAATACTATTGCTCATCCCACAGTGGGAAAATTCAGTGTGACAGCAGCAAGATACAGTACAGATTATAAGAAACATGTAATATATGTACTGTACATGAGAATTTTTTAAGCAGATTTGCAGATATAACTAAACTGTTAAATAATTGCATATGTTGCATTTTTAAAGAGAAAAATGAAAGCTCAAAGAGACTGATAAATCTTAAGTGAAAGTGAACTACTTGTCATTGTGACACAGCTCACCACTGCACACAACCAAATGTGACCTCTGCTTTTAACCCATCACCATAGTCAGCAGGGAGCAGCTTTCAGCTCCCGGGGAGCAGTGTGTGGGGACAGTGCCATGCTCAGAGCACCTCAGTGGTAACTTGGCAGCTGGTGGACTCGAAGCTGGAGCCTTCCAGACCCAAGTCCGCTTCCTTAACCACCAAGTCAACACTACCCCAAAAGATGATGATGGGTGATGGAGTGTGAAGTGTAGACAGAGGTGCAGTCATAGGTCAATGAAGTTGTGCCTCAGTTAACAATCCAATGTGATGAAATGTGGTTTCCAGCTCTGACAAATTTGGTTTACCATAACCCACAAACAAACAAAAAAGAACCACACCCAAAGTGTTCAACACGCTCAGTTTTTTGAGGGAGGACTTTCCTCCTTCCTCCAAAGTGGAAAGACACCATAGGCTGTATCCAAGAGAAGGTTTAGCATCATAATCCCAACATGAGGTGATTTTCATCATTTCATGTTTTGGTCTCATGTTGTTGCATTTAAACAAAATGCCATGAAGATTGTCAAAGTCAAGAAAAGATCCTCAAACGTCTGGTTGTCAAGGATATGACATCAGAAAACTCAACCCAAGAAGTAATCCATTTTACTGGAGGCTGTCAACTCGACTGGATCTTTCCAAACATCCCTAGTGGTTTGTACAAACACTGAAACACTGGTACTGCCAATTTTATATGTAGTAACTATGTTACTGCTCCATCCCTGGTTCCATTCATCTGTAGATAAGAGAAATAAGATGTTATTACAGGTAAAACCAGGACAGTGGTGAAAACTGTGATACATATATATTGTTGAATTGCAGTAATACACAAGAGTTCCATTTGAGCTTCATCTGGAACAAACACAGACCAAAGAAAAAAGAGCATCTCAAAAGAGAAAAATGAAAGCTCAAAGAGACTGATAAATCTTAAGTGAAAGTGAACTACTTGTCATTGTGACACAGCTCACCACTGCACACAACCAAATGTGACCTCTGCTTTTAACCCATCACCATAGTCAGCAGGGAGCAGCTTTCAGCTCCCGGGGAGCAGTGTGTGGGGACAGTGCCATGCTCAGAGCACCTCAGTGGTAACTTGGCAGCTGGTGGACTCGAAGCTGGAGCCTTCCAGACCCAAGTCCGCTTCCTTAACCACCAAGTCAACACTACCCCAAAAGATGATGATGGGTGATGGAGTGTGAAGTGTAGACAGAGGTGCAGTCATAGGTCAATGAAGTTGTGCCTCAGTTAACAATCCAATGTGATGAAATGTGGTTTCCAGCTCTGACAAATTTGGTTTACCATAACCCACAAACAAACAAAAAAGAACCACACCCAAAGTGTTCAACACGCTCAGTTTTTTGAGGGAGGACTTTCCTCCTTCCTCCAAAGTGGAAAGACACCATAGGCTGTATCCAAGAGAAGGTTTAGCATCATAATCCCAACATGAGGTGATTTTCATCATTTCATGTTTTGGTCTCATGTTGTTGCATTTAAACAAAATGCCATGAAGATTGTCAAAGTCAAGAAAAGATCCTCAAACGTCTGGTTGTCAAGGATATGACATCAGAAAACTCAACCCAAGAAGTAATCCATTTTACTGGAGGCTGTCAACTCGACTGGATCTTTCCAAACATCCCTAGTGGTTTGTACAAACACTGAAACACTGGTACTGCCAATTTTATATGTAGTAACTATGTTACTGCTCCATCCCTGGTTCCATTCATCTGTAGATAAGAGAAATAAGATGTTATTACAGGTAAAACCAGGACAGTGGTGAAAACTGTGATACATATATATTGTTGAATTGCAGTAATACACAAGAGTTCCATTTGAGCTTCATCTGGAACAAACACAGACCAAAGAAAAAAGAGCATCTCATTAATGTCTTGACTAAACAGAGACTATGAAAAAATGTTAAAGCATGATGAGGTTTTTTACTTCTATCTTTCTTGATAGGCTTCTACCACAAAAAAATTCATCTATATTAATTAGCAAAAAAACACAGCAATACTGCGCTGCCTACAACTGCTCCAACCAAACTGCCATCCCAACATCGAGCATCAGCTGACCAGCTGTTTTCAGTGAATTCAACAACGGTATTTTATACTTCAGGGTAAACGGTTTTCACATTATAAAATACGTCATGTTCATTTTCTAAAATGTAATCCCATTTAGAGGAAACAATGACAACTATGAAGATCACAGCAGACGACTAAAATAATGGAAATATTCATGAAGCAGCAGTTCATTCCTAAAGAGAAAAGATGAAATACACCAGAGCATATAGACACACAGTGTATAGTGTTGAAAAAACATACCTGAATACAAAATTCTTTTATCTTCCTCCACTGAACAACAACTATACCTCCTACTATTAAAATAAACAGTATTAAAGATCCTATTAGAAAAACTGCCGGGACATTGTTTTTCCCACACTGAGCATCAGTTGAAGTTGTTCCTTCTGTTACTGTAGAAAGGCTTCTGTGTTCACACCTGCAGCCACAGAGAGACATGTTCTACAGGTGATGTTTTAAAATACAAATTCAGTGCATGGATCATTTCAGACCTGGAATGAACACATGTCCTAAGACTTCAGATTATGGCTGGGCCAATTCATTTTCCATGTTGGGATCAATACAGTATATTAATAATCTACCAACTGACCAATAGGAAGAGTAGGACTGTTAGTAGCTGTGGAGAATAAGGTGACCTCTGTATTTGAACATCAGTGTTAGAACCACTCCAATGATGAATGACGTTAATAGATGATAATGGATGAAAGGAGGAGACTGAATTCAACACTGACAGTTCATATGGAACTCTGAACAAAGTCTGATCTGTTGAAGTCTTGGATTGGATCATGCAGGTTTTATGTCACATTAAATGTCTCACTTACTGTGTGTGTGGCCGACAGACAGTAAATGTACCATCAGAAAATGTCCCAGAAGTGCAGTCAGAACACTCAGTGTCTGTGGCTGCTGTTCCTGTGGGAACACACATGAACACAGATACTTGGAAAGACATGTTGTTTAAATCTTATCTTTCTTTAAAACTGGTTCCAAAGCTACACTGCCTCCAACGTAGCTGTTAACAGCAATCAATTACTATGAAGTTACCATTAATGACATGAGTGTCATTGATTAGTGCAGTAACAACAAAGGCTCATTCACAATACCATTATTTCTGATGTACTGTCCTGGTTGACACCTCGTGTGGTTCTGTGCTGCTGTACAGTGGTTCTCTGTCCTGTTTATACAGAAGAATCCGTCCAGAGGTTCACATGTTGTATCCTGCACCACTGTGCATGGGGTCAGAGTCTTTAGACCCAAGTCTGTCAGGATACAAAGGTGACAAAGGTCAAACGTAAAGGGTGACACAGTGGAAGTAGAACAGGACCAAACACGTTTCAGTGGAAATAAAGTTTTTAGTTGAATTAAGACTACACACACTTTATATTGATATATAGTGTATTGTACTGTATATATTACATTACATTACAACACATTTAGGAAATGCTTTTATCCAAAGTAATGTATTGCTGTATTTAGTGTCTGCACTGGCAGACAACGCAAAGTCCTACATGTACTGACTGCAGAGGAAAGGAGAACAGGGAACTTGAAATCACATGCAGTATCTTGTGACTCAGTCATGTGGTGATAGGGAAATACTGGTTGGAACATTGTCAAACCAGATATTCAATATTACATTACATTACAACACATTTAGGAAATGCTTTTATCCAAAGTAATGTTACAATTCGAGTCGATCAATCGACAATCAAGTCACAGTAAACATACCAAATACAAAAATACATACATAATAATAAATAGTAATAAAGAATAAATAAAGTAAAAGTACAGTTGAAGTCATAATAGGTCATAGAGTAAGAAGAGGTTCATGTTAGATGTTTGTGGGTTTGTTAGGATAGGAGATGTTCTTTGAAGAGTAAAGTGTTGAAGTGCTTCTTGAAAGAAGAGAAGGTAGGACCCTGATCTAGTGGCAGTTGATACGGCAGCATGACAGCAGCTTAACATGCTGCTGTTGGGTTTAGTCTTCAGGGTGTCCGGGTATTGTCTGCTTTTGCTTGACGATACCGCTGTTATCGTATAACTTACAAATACGATACTTGATACGATATCAAGTATCGTATTTATAAGTCGCACCTTTTTTCCATCCTGTGGATGGGTTTTGCGACTTATACTCGGGTGCGACTTATACTCCGAAAACGATGGTACGTATGTGGCTAGAAAATCATTTCAAAAACGATTAGGTTGTAAAATGCAAGGAAAGCTAATAAGGAAAAATGTTATACAGTTTTGGCATATCAGGAGCAGTGGGTAGCATGTAATGGGAAATGTCATGCAAGCTTTAATCATGAAATTCTTAATACGCCATTAGCAAGCTGTACAAAGCCTCTCCTCCATGATCGCCCCAACTGCGATGATTCAACGTAGACTCAGAGGGGCCTTGAGTTGAGGGCAACAGCCGGCCTATCAGATGACTCCTCAGCGACGTTGTTATTATCGTAAGGTTTCTGTGTCATAGCATGAGTTCAGCACACACACCCCCGCACAAATCGTGGCCTCTTTTATATGCAGGTTAATTAAAATGGAATTGTGCACTCCACGAGAACATGACTGTCTATAAACTTGGATTATACTCATTAGGCTCAGCAGCATTGCGTCCGAGAAGATTGGTGTTGTGTTAACAAACACAAACATACACATTCGCACATACACACCTAAGCTACCGCCCGGTCATAACGTTAACTGCGACCCCCGTTGTTAGCAATTTTCACCATGCTGGTTTTTTTTTTTTTTTGTCTTTTAAAATTAGGTAGCTTGATGTTTGGGAGCCATCTTCTTCCAATGATGTGATCTGCGGACCTTTTCTGTTTGCTCTCTCCGTTGACACGTACGACTATTATCTACCACGAGCTAATGTGCGTTCCAGGGTAAAATTACATCTAGTTACACCAAGACACACACACAGAACTAAAACCAACCAGCTTTAACTTTTGTTCCATCAGAACAATGAGAAGGTGAAAAATATCTTTAAAAAGTGACAGATTATGAAGTAATGATACTTTACCAACAAATATGTAGATGGACAAAATGTTTTAAAGATCAACATTTTCACGATGGAAGACTTTCTTCAACTGGGGACGTCGTCACATTCAGATGTGGAGTAAGTCGAGTTGTGACACCTGAAAACACAGACAAATTCTTTGGTTGGATCTCAAAACAGATTTCATTTCTTACGCGATCACTTCACGTCTTTTTCTTTTCTGTTGCTTTTTGTCCAGATCCGTACTTCAACGACTGCAAATGTATACAAACCAAAAATTACATAAACACAAATACAGAAGTGCGTAGTTGATTTGAATTCGTTAATGTTTTTCCATTTTAGTTCCCGCCCCTCTCCGTCGATTTAAAGGCACAGACACATATCTAAACCATTATATTACAATGTCGATATGTTGTACTTTTTTTCTCATAATCTGCTTTGTACCTTTTCTAAATTTCCACATTGTGGGATGAAAAAAGACCGGGGGAGACCAACTCTTCCAAATGTCAAATGGCTGCCAATACAACAACTTCCTAAATATGGAATCAATATAGTACAAATGTATTTATTTATTTTATTTTAACATTTGGTTGGTTTTCTGCTACCAATGATTTAGAAACGTGCTATCAATGGTGCAGAGAAAGGCTGTTGGCCTGCGATGCATTATATACTGTATTTCACAGGTGATCTTTGTGATTCCACCACTGAGAAATTACTTGGGCATAGAACACACATTACAGAAAATACCGAAAGTGGTTTGGTGTCCTTAGGTTAGTATGAATAGTAATTATTATTCCTGATACAGAGTATAATAGCTCTAAAGTACAGATAAATAACCACTAAAGGGCAGGATAGCATCATTTTAAATCATTCATATTTAAGTGACTAAATTGAAGTCACTGTACCTTTTGCATTAAAGTGAAATTGAATTATTTGTTAAACGTAATTGAGAAACGTATCTCGTGCTAACAAGAAACCTTAGGTTAAGCACAGGCAGTTGTGACTGTTATCAATAGTCGAACAACAACAACAACAGTGCCCTCCTGTGTCTAACTGAGGTACCTTACATTAATTAAATGCTCACCATATATACAGTACATATGTCACACATGACATGCAGGTGTCTTAGATTTCCCATACGTACATGATTGATTTTTTTTTAATGTATTACCCTATATGTATGTGTGGCAAAATGTCTTATCGTTTATTTAAATAGTTTTTCCCTTTAAGGCTAGAATATTATTGCTCGTGAATAATGAAAATATTGGAAATTAAAACATTTTTAATGTCGCGAGATTGGATTTTAAAAATCCGCGATTTACCGAGGAAGCAAAAGTATTTGGTATCACAATATTGTCATCACATATTTCAGCTCTAACGTGTTCAGTGTATGGTAGTAGACAAAGGTCCAGGGTTGTAGCAGAGGAGGTGGTGTGTCTCTGAGAGACTGGAACAAAGCTTGTCAAAACCATCAAGGTCAGATTAGGCTGGTGCTGCAAAGATTATCTCTACAGTCTAGATATGCAATAACATTTGATGAGGTAGATTGGCTCTTTGTTTGAAAGTTTAGCGTTACAATCTTCATATTGACTTGCATGAAGTTGGAAAGTGAACAAAAGTATCTCTAAAAGCCTTGATGTCCATGTGTCCACGGTAAGACGGATTGCCTACAAATGGAGAAAGTTCAGCACTGTTGCTACTCTGCCTAGGTGTGGTTCATGGGAGGACACCACGGAGGAAGCCAATGCTCTACAAAAAAAACAAAAAAACATTGCTGCACATTTGAAGTTTGAAAAAGAGCACCTGGATGTTCCAAAGCTACTTGGAATACTGGCAAAATATTCTGTGGACATATTTAACCAAAACTGAGTTGTTTGGAAGGAACAGACAACACTATGTGTGGAGAAAAAAAAGGCACAGCACATGTGGAGGATGTGTGATACAACAGGACAACGACCCAAAGCATAGTAAAAAGTAAATCAACAACAGAATGGCTTCAACAGAAGAAAATACGCCTTCTGGAGTGGCCCAGTCAGAGTCCTGACCTCAACCTGATTGAGATGCTGTGGCACGACCTCAAGAGGGCGATTCACACCTGACATCCCAAGAATATTGCTGAACTGAAACAGTTTTGTACAGAAGAATGGTCCAAAATTCCTCCTGACCGTCGTACAGATCTGATCTGCAACTACAGGAAACGTTTGGTTGAGGTTATTGCTGCCAAAGGAGGGTCAACCAGTTATTAAATCCAAAGGTTCACATACTTTTTCCATCCTGCACTGTGAATGTTTACATGTGTTCAGTTAAAACTAAATGTATTTACAACATCTTAACAGAGATGCTGTGGCATCTCAAACTTCACCTTTGTTCAAGTGAAGTTGTGGTGTTAAAGTTTTGAATGGCCCCGGGGACAAAGGACGTCCTCAGTCTGTCTGTGGACCATGACAGTGACAGAAGTCTGCCCTGAACTTGAACGTTTTGTGAAGGTGCTGTGTAGGTAGGTGACTGGTGTCCATGATTGACAGCAGCTTGTAAAGAGTCCTTTTCTCTACAACTGATGTCAGGGTCTCCAGCACCAAGCCAACCACAGAGTCGGCCTTCCTCACCAGTCTGTCCAGCCGTCCAGAATCTCTCTTCTGGGCGCATGCTCTCACAGGAGAGTGTGACCTCTGTGTTGTTTAACACAATATCTGAATGGTTCGTCACTCCTGATGTTTCATCTTTTAAGGATTGTCCTTTAGATAACAGAAAAAACAGCTCTGTAAATAAATTGAGGACAGTGATGAAGACAGACTGTCAGTCAATGTCTCACCTTCTGTTTCGTTACGTTCTTGCTCCTCATAATTCTTTTTATTTTCAGCTGTGCACTCCTTGTAAGAGACATATCAGATCATTATTAGGTTCATAGTTCTCCTCCTTTTGCTGTCAGTTAATAATTCACTGACACTGGCTTTGACAGGTTTACACCTTATACAATACGTCATGTTCATTTTCAAGTCTAATCCCATTTAGAGGAAACTACAACAACTATGATGTCTTATATAATATCTGTCCTTTTTTATTGTTTTGTGCTGCTGTTAATTTCAGGAACCAGATCTCCAGAAAAGACAAACAGACTGAATTGAACTGTTTCAGTGTAGACTGACTTTTATACTGATGTTTTCTGGGCTCTTTGTAACTGACTGTTGTTGTGACTTGTGTTTCTATGACCAAAATTTAAAATGTCTATTCTGCTGTAAAGGTTTCATCTGAACTGGAATTATCTGTGGTGGCATTGGTCAGCAGAAACTTGGGTCAAATTTACTGGAAGGATGTGACAGGTCTCTCTGGGCTGAGTCTCATCATTACATGATGATCATGAAAACATATCAGCACATCATTCCTAAAGAAAAAAACCTGAAATACACCAGAGCATATGGACACACAGTTTATACAGTGTTGAAAAGGAGAGGGAAAAAAAACATACCTGAAAACAACATGCGTGATCAATGAATTCTTTTACTGTAACAAACCAATGAAAAAACAGCTGATCAGTGTTCAGACTAATATCAACATGTGATAAGACATGGATGTGGTTTAGAGGTCTACCTTTTCTTTTTTTCTTCCTCCACTGAACAACAACTATATCTCCTACTATTAAAATAAACAGTATTAAAGATCCTATTAGAAAAACTGCCGGGACATTGTTTTTCCCACACTGAGCATCAGTTGAAGTTGTTCCTTCTGTTACTGTAGAAAGGCTTCTGTGTTCACACCTGCAGCCACAGAGAGACATGTTCTACAGGTGATGTTTTAAAATACAAATTCAGTGCATGGATCATTTCAGACCTGGAATGAACACATGTCCTAAGACTTCAGATTATGGCTGGGCCAATTCATTTTCCATGTTGGGATCAATACAGTATATTAATAATCTACCAACTGACCAATAGGAAGAGTAGGACTGTTAGTAGCTGTGGAGAATAAGGTGACCTCTGTATTTGAACATCAGTGTTAGAACCACTCCAATGATGAATGACGTTAATAGATGATAATGGATGAAAGGAGGAGACTGAATTCAACACTGACAGTTCATATGGAACTCTGAACAAAGTCTGATCTGTTGAAGTCTTGGATTGGATCATGCAGGTTTTATGTCACATTAAATGTCTCACTTACTGTGTGTGTGGCCGACAGACAGTAAATGTACCATCAGAAAATGTCCCAGAAGTGCAGTCAGAACACTCAGTGTCTGTGGCTGCTGTTCCTGTGGGAACACACATGAACACAGATACTTGGAAAGACATGTTGTTTAAATCTTATCTTTCTTTAAAACTGGTTCCAAAGCTACACTGCCTCCAACGTAGCTGTTAACAGCAATCAATTACTATGAAGTTACCATTAATGACATGAGTGTCATTGATTAGTGCAGTAACAACAAAGGCTCATTCACAATACCATTATTTCTGATGTACTGTCCTGGTTGACACCTCGTGTGGTTCTGTGCTGCTGTACAGTGGTTCTCTGTCCTGTTTATACAGAAGAATCCGTCCAGAGGTTCACATGTTGTATCCTGCACCACTGTGCATGGGGTCAGAGTCTTTAGACCCAAGTCTGTCAGGATACAAAGGTGACAAAGGTCAAACGTAAAGGGTGACACAGTGGAAGTAGAACAGGACCAAACACGTTTTAGTGGAAATAAAGTTTTTCTTTCACAACAAAGACAAAGGGAAGAAAGTGGTGAAAATCAGTGTTAATTTTACTGGACATTAAAAAGACTATAAAAAGTCTGTTCATACAAATCACTTCAAACAATACTTTTTTGGAGATAAAGAGTATTTACCTGGACTACACACTGTACATGCAAAGCATTCTATTTCTCCATTATAATCACTCGTGAATGTTCCTTCGTCACAGAGACTACAGGTGGTGGTCCTGGTGTCCGTGCAGTTTCTTTTCGCGAAGGCTCCTATAGAAAACACAACAATGTGAAGTTATAGTCCGTGTTGTAAAATGTCTGGTCAGTTCCTCTCAGTGATGGGGAGAAAGAATGGAACATGTTTTTAGAGAACCAATGACTTAATCTGCTCCACATCATCACATTAGAGTCAAACCAAACTTACATGGAGACCAAGGACTGACCTTTTAAAGTTGACAAACCAAAAACATTTCTTTATTGTAGACTTTGAAAGTCCCTCAGGAAACTTTTCTAATGGATTTATACATTTTGTATTTCATCTAATAAGAAATACAAACCAACTTTAAGGTCCCCACTGATCCACTTGACTGTACTTGAAACTTGAAAGTACTTGAAAGTCAGACTAATGTCATTGTTCAGTGTTTGATTCTGGGATAATCCTCTCCTCATATTTTATCACTCAGCTAAAGCTTACCTGGATCACATTTAGGACAGCACTTATCTCCAACTGGGTACTCTGATGGGGGGCAACCTAGAGCCCCTCTAACAAAGGTGGTTCCGAGCACCTGTGCAAAAAAAGAGGAAAGTTCTTCATCTCTGAGTTAGAGGTTTCTATGAGGAGAGGATTTTGACAAGGCTTAGGTTTAACACCAAGCAGGTAAACTGGGAAAACATTTAAACAACAACAGTATTATATTTCATTACATAGACTTTTGTGGCAACTTTGTTTGGTGGTGAGCTGAGGATTCTTCTAATGTTAACACAATGCTGACAAATGTTTTCTTATCAGTGAGTCATTACCTGCCATGTCCACACACACAGAACTAAAACCAACCAGCTTTAACTTTTGTTCCATCAGAACAATGAGAAGGTGAAAAATATCTTTAAAAAGTGACAGATTATGAAGTAATGATACTTTACCAACAAATATGTAGATGGACAAAATGTTTTAAAGATCAACATTTTCACGATGGAAGACTTACTTCAACTGGGGACGTCATCACATTCAGATGTGGAGTAAGTCGAGTTGTGACACCTGAAAACACAGACAAATTCTTTGGTTGGATCTCAAAACAGATTTCATTTCTAACGCGATCACTTGGAAATATAGTGTCCTAAATGGCTGCTTTGGCTGCAGGTCTTTGTTCCAACAGAGGAGCAGCACACCTGACTTGACAGGTTTAAACTGGTCTTAGTCTTCACCTCCTTTCCCAGCTGGTACATACGTACATTAGACCGGAGATGCACAAGGTGGTTCGACGGCGGACCCGGAGATGGACCGGCCGGGTTGGAGATGGTTGTCCTGCTTTTTCATTCTTCATTGAAAATAAACTAATCGACCCTGCTAAACGTTTTCGCGCGTCGTATTCAAGCACTAAACCCCGCCCTTCCTCCTTTCTCAATCTGCTGTTAGCCACAGAACTTTCTAGTTGGATGACGACTTCCTGTTGTCATGTTAAGGAAGTAAATGTGGGTCTTAGTGTGATCAGTGACATTTGTTGCAAATATACCCACGTTTACAAATGAACTTTAAGGTTATGGTGACGTGTAAATAATAATAATAATAAACTATATATATATTGGGTTTTTCCTGGGGAGATCGAGATTTCTTAGACTGTGGTTGTGAATGGGAACTATACTATATCCCAGTGGTTCTTATCCTGGGCTCGATCGAACTCCGGGGATTCGGTGAGTTAGTCTCAGGCGTTCGGCGGAGGACAAGACACACACCCGACTCATATGATTCGTGATGACACGCCACCCGCTTGGCCATCACCGAAGGGTTCGGTGAATGGGCATATAAAACTGCCGGTTGTTCAGTACCTCCAACAAGGTTAAGAACCACCGCTATATACTATACTATTGCAGACCCAGTAGATGGGGTCAGTACTCTTCACGTAGGAAGATTAACGTAGTCGGTCAAGCTTCAACTTGTACAGTATGTGAAGCTGTTTCTGCCGTTAAAGTGACCTCCACTACAGAAACATGGCTGTCCCATGACTTCAATATCAGAAAATAAGAATCAGCGACAGACACTAGGAATAAACCGATTTAACTGTTGTTAAAATTAAAAAAAGTTCGATCTTACCTTATGACTCTGGATACATGTCAGCTTTCAAATAAATGTAACTCGGTCGTTTGGTTCTGACTTGACAGTGATGTTGTTCCCCAGTCGTAGGTCCAAGTCTTTCTGATACGAATGGTGCACACTGGAAAACTTTTAAACGCCTGTAAAATTGCTGAGAAAAAATAACCCGGTCTGTGATTGGACCAAAGAGCGACGGTGTTCCTCCGCTGAAGTTAAAAGTCTTCCGCGGGAAAACGAATCTCGTGGAACAACAAGGCGAATAGTTTTCGCGGTAGTAGGAGTTTATATTGAATTCCTTATGTTCTAGACGCACCTTGATTCTGTGCTGTATGTTTTTAACCCCTCCACTTTCCCGATATATTTCTGTTTGATTCTCAGCAGGGATTCTCAACGGTATCTGTCCATTCCTGTGCAGAGTACCAAGTAAATAATCAGGTCAGAACAAAAAATATATATAAAATATAAATAACGTGTCTTACCTAGTGCAGAAGATCTGAATTTATAATTTCTTCTTCTCTGCGTTTTGCCAAAAAAGAGGTTATGTTTTCATTTCAAATAACATCGTGTCTTGCTGTTTAATAATTTGATATTGTGGCTGCAGGTCTTTAGAGAATAGTGAGTTGAAGCAGACTAAATGTGTAAGATCATAATTACATTATCTTAATATAATAGGTTGTGATCTAAAGTGAGCCGGGGACTCCAGTGGGCTGCACTGCAAAGCAAGTTTAGTGGGTTAGCGAGTTTCCTCTCAAAATCGGCTATAAAAGTGCTGCCGTTTTACTGTTCAACTCATTCGAAGATGGTCTCACCATTTATTGATCCATGTATTTCATGTATGCTCCAGTATTGATAGGTGGGTCTAATGGTCCTGAGAAAGCAACATTTTAGAATTCAAGATACATTAATACACTGTAGTTCTATCTGTCTATCTATCTATCTGGAGAGGTAGTACTGTGATCAGGAATATAAGAGTTCAAGTGGTGTGAATATTTTATTTATTTATTTGTATCAGAGGGTAGATGTCATCTACCAATTGACTCTGAGTTATACTCATCTACTCGGTGACGCTGGGTCACACTCCTGCACAGGAGGTGGCGCTAATACACCTAAAAAGTTAGTGCCAGCCGCCTTAAAATGGAAGAAGAAGAGGTTTACTCGGTTTTGAAAATGGCGGCTTATTCGAAGGGTGAGGATGATATTTCTCGACGTGTGTACGGCACATTACAGGTAAAATATTTATATACGCAAGCAATATACTATACATTTAATAGATGCGTGGTTTTTTTTTTACATCATTGATATGTTGTGAATTTGTTTTCATTAAACTTCAATAAACTTCATTTATTATTCACCTTCTCTTCTAATTCCGGATATTACCTATATGTTTTTCCCTCTCCCTGAGGAAAAAAAGGTGACGAAGAACTGAGCTTCCCGGCCTTAAAAATACATTTTGGTGTTTTCATTTGTCCTATTCTAGATATTGAACATCAGACCAGGGAGACAGGTTTTCCCTTTCTATTTCTCGTGCCCTCTTGTTCTTGAAGTTAAAAGCCCTACTAAATATAGTATCTGCTCTGCAGTTAGTCCTGTAAACAACCTCTACTATATATTTTTGTTTGAAATGTATCCTTTATGTGACATTCACAGTTGTTTTTTTCTTAAGTTGGTATATAAACCTTCTTTTTGAATATCACTATTTATGGTATGATATTTTGAATTCCAGTATATCTGATATTGTAAATTATATGGTTGAATATCAGAACTGAAGAAGCCTCTTGGATGAGGCGAAATCGAATCTAATAAATATCAAATCTACACTCAAACGGAACAAAGCCATTCGTCTAACTCTGCTTTGAACAACAGACCGATTGTGTACAATCTTTAAAAACTGATTGAGAGGGGAAATGAAAATAATAGTCTCCAGGAATAGTAGATGAAATTGGATACTTTTCAACGTTAAGCCTGATGAACTCTCATGGCATACTAGTGTGTCGGCGCAGTGGTTGGGAATGACAGCTGTAATACCTTTTCCTGCTGTATTCTCTTTGCATAGGCTGCTTCCTGCCCCCTAGTGGACGGTCTTTTCCTGCAGGAAGCAGACAGCATGATGCAGCTGTTGTGTTCTCCTTCTCAACTCCGCACTGACATTCTGACATGGATCTGCAGCAGGTGGGGTAAACTTCATCATTCATCTCACCCCACTCCTTACATCTGCCATAATCTATAAACACTTCTGATCTCTTCTATTTTGCCATTCTTGCAGTATCAACCCCAATTTTTCTACTTCCAAATTGACATCTGTAAAAAACAAAGATGAAGACGAATTAAATAAAGGTAACTTTTGTACCAGGGCACAAATCAAATCTCTCTGTGTTAGGGTGTACAATGAGTTGTGTTTTTTTGTGTTTGTGTTATTTCACTGGAAATAAGCTTCTCAAAGAGGGCAAGACATTAAGAAGTTGTGTATTATTTAAGTAAAAGATTAAACAAACTCTTAACCAAAGGACTGACTAGTCCAATGATGAATGATGTTGTTTGTATTAGTCAACATTTCTGGCTGGTTTATTGTTTCTAAAATTGTTCCTCTAACCTCAGAGGTCCATGCATGTAAAATAATCTTCTCCCTAAAAAGTGAAAACAGTCTCTTAATCTGCTCATGTATGTATGTATGTTTTGTATAAGCAGAAATAGCCCTGGTTGGACAGGAGCTAATGCTGTGCAGATCAAGTGACCTGGACCTGATCAGGGTGAGACACTGAAAGAAAACCAGCAGTGACACCTTTAGTCAAATGTGAACTACTGACTACTCATTGCCAAGACAAACAAGATAGAGAATTGTTTAACCATTATTCTGTCACATCATTTTTGCAGGGTAATGCCAGTCCGAAACAACAGCTCCAGTTTCTGGAGCAGCTTTTAACTCTGATTCCCAGGTACAAGAAGGCTGCAGGACACAGGGTGGATGAGGAGATGCTACTGAATGAGCTTTACGCTGCCGAGAATCTGCCTCACCTGACCGAAATGCTGGAACCAACATTTGACCCATGGCCGGCACACATCAAGTAAAAATAGGAACAAAACATTCTCTACTAATTATGCACACCTTAAATTCCCCATAGCACTGCAGCATATTGTAATAATTTACAGATTATTATCAAATATAAAAAACAATTCCCAATTGTTTGTTGAGTGGGGGTGTAGCAAAAAGGTAGTTGAAAATATGGGTTAGAGCTGCAAGTGAAAATAAACTTAGCTGTTGTCCTGATTGGAAAATACTTGATAATAGTCATACACAATATAAAATAAGCTGCGATTGGCACACACAAATGTCTCAAAGTTAGTGTTAATAGGCCTAATATGTTTTGATAATGTAGTGACACACTTATATTTGGACTTATTCGTTGCAATCAAAACTAAGTAAATGGCAATCCAAGAATTCAACCCCAGTCGAATTAAAAAAACAAACAAACTTAAGACTGAAAAAGCAGCAACAAAACATAACAGGGTGCAAGTCAAAGGAAATGACACTTTTACTAACTCAATGGTAAAAACTAAATTTACTACTTTTACTATTTTTTTCATAAACAAATCAAATTAAAATATACAAATCATACTAAATGATGTGAATCCAAATTATATTATTTTCAAATACGTTAAAGTATGGCATTATAGCTTCTGCTTGCACCTAGTTTAATTTCACAGCTATTTTGTGGAGACAGTTGATTTAAAAAAAAAAAAAAGTTTCATATATAAAAATATATACGAATACAAGTTCAAGGCATCAACTCCCTAACTTTTGTCCTGCTTGTTGTATCTCACAGGGCGTCACACAAAGGCACCAAGTTTATTTGTAAACCATGCAAAGATGATGCCGACGTTGGTACCCTCTTAGAAACGACACAATCTGCACTTGAGCAGCTACAGTCTGAGGTTAGTGTTTGGTGAAGATATTTTAAAGACAACTGGAAACGACACTTAGATGTAACAGCACCTGAAACTCATGTTGCGTGTTCTCATCAGTGTGAGTTCCTGAAAGACGAGACCCAGAGTCCTGGCCTCTTCTCCCCCGGCTCCCTGCGTTTGGCTGCTAGTGATTTGCAACAGCTGATGGCAACCTTCAGCCACGTTTATGAAACAGACTTAAGAGAGTACTGTAGTCGGGAGCCGCCAGTCTTCAGCAAAGAGAGTGATGTCTTTCAGAGAGTGCACCAACTGCTGCTGGCCTGTAACACAGTAAGGCATCCACCCACGTTTACATGACAGCACTGTATTTTGTCAAAAGAGAGAGACCATTTTATCAGCAATGTAGTGATTTGTTTCAATCCACTCACTGTCTGAAACCAAAATCTCCTTTTATTGGCTGAGGAAAACATGACATAGCTTAGGTCCATGTCCCAGTCAATTTTTGGGAGACCATTGCTTTTTTTTTTTTTGTAAATTTTACATCAGTCTTAATTTGTGAGCCAAACAGGCTTAGGGGTGCCCAGACTTTTTTGGCTTGGGAGCTACTAGACATACTTTTAACATACTTCATATATGGATATATACATTACATTTATATTTTGCAGACACCTTTATCCATGGTCCATCAGGGAATCAAACCCAGGACTCTTTGCTTGTAAGGTGTAGTGGGTACTCATTAAATGCATGCATGCTATGCACAATACGACCCAGTTCTTACTGTATATGGCTGTATATGGTCACTGCTACAGTAGAATTATATTTACATTTAATTTTTTGTTTTAATTGCTAACGATCTACCATTAGACCTACCTATTGGGCATCCCTGTATTAGCCTTGAGTTTGACACCTGTGGCTTACAGCCTAGTTCTCATAATGTGTCTGACTGAGCTGTGTCCCAAGTTGAACACAGACGAAAGAGCGAACTCATTTGGCTTTTCAAACAAGAATGAAGAAGAACAAGAAGTGAAATAGTTTAAACAGAATTTTGTATGCTTTTATATGACTCCTCTCATATTCCCTTTCATTTTGTCTTCTAGGAGTTGGAAATGCTTAATGAAGTGTCAGAAGCATCTGCTTCCTTGAAGGACGAAGTGAACCTGCTGCAAACACAAGCCTGCTACTGGATGAGAGGGGAGAAGCACACTCTACGTTAGTATCTGCTTTGCTTGTCATTTGTTTTCTCACTGGCACCAACCACGTGTGCATGTTATGATACTGGTTTGAGAAGGTTTACAAGGCCAGTTAAAGGCACAGCATTATGAGTGGTAGTAAATTGATTAGTAAATAAGAGGGGTTGGAATTAAATAATCACAATTATCCAACCTGTTTGTAGTGGAAATCAACAAATAGACAAAAACAGTTGTTTGATTTTAGTCAGTTCTGTGAATTGTACCATGGTTTGCAGAGTGAGTTATTTTCAAAAATTGGGCAAAACAGTTATCCCACTGTGTGCATCAGCAAAGATAAGTGGATAGATGGGGTAATGTTACATATAACTGTAATTCTGGCCATGCAATAAAACGTATTATATTTATCTGATTAATCTTGAAAAGAAATTAAGTGATCATTTTAAATTCCCTAGGTATTTTGGCGTTTACAAAAGTAATTGTAAATGTATATTATAATCTCAGGTTTCATTTGAGCCTCATCACATCATAGTAACTGAACTTTACAGGAATTACATTTTTGTATCTTAACTGCCTTCATAATTGTATTTTTGATGGGTTTTTTTTTTTTAGCGGATCAAGTGGCAGAGCTGACCAAGCAAAGTCGACAGTTCCTCAACCTGTTTGACTCCTGATGAAAGAGAGGCCTAGTTACTTTACATTCCCTGATGACGATCGAAGTTTTGTTGTTATAGTCCCAGAATGATAAGTTTAGTCATGAGACAATAGTATTTATGAACCAAGACATTAGCATTGTGCTACTTTGTGCTGCCAGATGTTGCAAATGTAACTGTAAATATTCTTTAAATAAAGTCCTTTAACCTGTTTTTATTCATGAAACCCTGCTTTTATTCAATGTCCACATACATTGATAATTGAAAAATGCCTGTAACGCATGATTATTTTCATTAGTTGAAATTTAATTTGATCCATTAAATGTTGACTAGAACCTCACCACCTCAGAAATATTGCTCTTTTGTCCACACAAATATTTAGTTGCTAAATAAACAACTTAAGTTTCCAGCTGAAGAATACTCACTCAAAGATGTGTTGAAAATACTGTTGACGACTATAGTAAACAATTAATCGTTCATAAAAAGAAATATAAACAAATTGGTCTTAAGAATGCATAAAATAAATTTGCATTTAATTAACAATTGATATAGTAAACAATTAATCGTTCATAAAAAGACAAATTGGTCTTTAGAATGCATAGAATAAATTGGCATTTAATTAACAATTGATAAGTTATGACTCATTCTTCTAATATTTAAAACATTTTTTCTTCATACTTAACACAATCAGAATGAATAAAATAGATCTGTTTTTTTAAATGTGAAATTAACAGTGTTTTAATTCACGTATAGAACTTTTTAGATTTTAGCTTCCTCCATCAGGAATAGTGACAGTGCATTTTCTATAAATTTCTTATTCTATAAATTATTATTCATCATTTTTTATCCTGTGACAGTGCATTTTCTATAAATTTCTTGCATCATTTTTTATCCAACTGCCTTCATTTCAATTTATCTGCCAGATGGAGGGACTGAGTCTCTGCATCTGAAATCCACATGCGCCCTTGGCTTTAGTTTATTGAAGTAACAATAATAAAGCAAATACAACAGTCATTTATTCTATGACACCAATGTTACTAGTCAAACCCCATACATCAATACATTGACCAAAGGTTTACAGTCTGTCAGGCGGATCTTAACAGTGAACTTGAGTGGTATACATTAGACACCGTCCATCCAAGCTATCCCGTTCTATGGGACATGGTCAAAATGCTTGATGTGTCCACCTGGCCGTTCCAACTGTATGTTCCTGTAGGGCAAAGCTGCAGGGACTGTCCTGGAGTTCACAGCAACTACATCATCCACCTGCATCTCCTCTGAGGTCAGAAACCTTTGGTGGCCAACCACTCTTTCAGTTCCTTGTCAAAGTGTCCCTTGACAGTCAGAGTCATAGTGACCTCGTTTACTTGTGTGGGCAGGTCTTTTCCTGTTACCGCCATTAAATACTCCTTCACGTCCTTCTCTAAGGCCCAAATGTCTCCCTCCACTTTCCGTACTAACGTCATCTTGCGATTTCCATGGGTCAGGTCGGTGTACACCGGGATGTTGTGCATTCGCGAACGGCGGATCATGTAGGGCAGAGGTGGCGGAGAATCTGCCGGAGGTATCCAGCCAGACGGGGTTGGACCGGCGTGTTTAGGAGGAGTTGGAACTCTGGACGGCGGGATGAGCCGCTCTACGAACTTGTATTCCTCTGTAGATTCAATTATGCCCGCCTTTTTTTGTTCTGGAGCGCCGACGCAAAAGAGCCGGATGCCGGCAGTGGTGCCAGTAGCTCCAGGTGTCCTGCTGTGGAGCCTCAATACTCCGGGTAACGCCGTGCGGAATACAGCGGACGCAAGGGTGAAGCACGCCGCCATGTTGTGTAGCGGTGTAATTTCCTCGACCCGGATATAGATAATGACTTCCGTTCTCATGGGGGGAGCTTTCTCTAAAATGACGATATCAAACTGATGGATATTTATTAATAATTAGGTAATATTTTTGTACACAATATTTTTCTTATCGTATTATTGAACACATGAACAGACATTTATGCTACATATTGCTTTTATTTATATTTTCTGTAATTGAGCAGCAGAAAACAAATCGACTACTGCATTTATTAAACATGTGCTTTGTTATTTTGTTAATGTCATTGCAGGAAATATTATGTTATGTTATTTGTTTACTTTCTGACTAAATGTATAATCTATCATCTCTAGACATCATCTGTGTAAAATTCAATAGTATTGTCCAAGTTAATTAAAAATGTACCATGTATCCTGTCATCAAAAGGGTTAACATGACTCACCAGTGTGCTCAGCTGTGGGTCAGAGTTGCTGTTTGTAATTTATTTTAAGTTTAAGAATTCGAACCGATTAAACCAGTCTATCATTTAATGTTTGGAAAAATCACTTTTGACATAAAGTCGTTCAAAGCGGTTGTGTCCTTTCTCACTACCACTATACAATTCTATGACAACTGAACGGAGAGATGTTGAAACCAAACAACATACAGCTGTTTGAAGGCACCCACAGAAAAAAAAAGTTAGTTACCTTTGCTGTCACTGGTACAAGAGCGGACGCATAATATATAGCATAATATATTTTCAACATAAACCGACCATTCCTATGTAAACTGCGGACCTGAGCATCAGGATTAAAATAATTTAATCAACAAACATGGTTACCCGAACCATTGAAGTGGTAGTTAGAGCAGCACGAAGATCATCTGCTCATGTTTTCCTCGTGGGTGCTTGCAACACGCTGGTTTCATCCACTCAGTTCAAAATCAATTACTGCCTGGCAGTACTAAAGCAACAAACCCACGAAGCACAATGCAGCCACAGCTGCGACACAATGTACATCAATGAAGCATCGACGATAAAGAAAAACAATTAAAATATAAATAAAAAAAGAGAGATGTACTCACCAAAACTTTGATTATTTGTACGCAAACTCCATCCTCTCTGTCCTTGAGATTGCGTTACATGACTCTGTTGTACAGATAACGGTGTGTTGCAATTCGAACAAGTTCGTTTCTATCGTCATTCATTCTACTGTTACGCTGAAAGTCCAGTCTGTCCAGTCGCTAGCAATTCCCCAGATTCAATACTGACGGTCTTTTGACCAGCCAATCAAATCACTCAAATCACCAACGTGACTTTTGGCCAGCTAGAAGGCCTTGGTGTGGCCAACTAAACATTTGATTGGTTAAACTTTAACCAATCCAATCAGTTTTGAGTTGTAACCACCTCACTGTCAAACTGATGATGATGAATAAATGTGGTATTGTTGTGTACTCCAGACCAGCTGGTCCAAGTACTTTGAAAACATGGTACTCTTCTAGAAATTAAAAATATATGTATATAATAAATAAAATAAGATAAGAGTTGATTTTCTATGAAAATAACGTTCTATTAAATTTTAATACTTCTAGAAGATTAATGACTGGTGACACATAAGTGGGGAACCTAAAATATAAACATTTTACTCATTGGTGGTGCAGAGAATCCGGCGGTTAGTGAAACAGAGTGGGGCGCGTCTTTTCCTGCGTCCCTGTAATTGGAGTAGCAGTCCGACCTGTTTGCCTTGTCTACTCCCTCAACTTTCTTTAGGCTTTTTACAGCAGTGAGCTCAACACACTTCATACTGACAGAGGAGAGGAGAGGGGCAGGACATGGACAGGGACAGACTAAATGGACAGGACATCCCATTGAATAAGCTGGATGATATAGAGGTGGGTGACACACTGAAGAAAACTCTTCTTATTTATGGCCTTTTTTTTTTTACATCATTGCATATAGACACTCTTGTTTTTCTACCACGTGTTTACACTTTACATAAAAAGACCTGCATATGTAAGTAAATATAGTACCTTTCTGTGCACTAAATTCCACCAACAGAACGCATGAGCTAACAGTCAGACCGTGTCTTGCTAATACATTTTACAACAACTCATCTGTGGAATAGGCAACGACCTAAAAGTATGTATATCAGCGCCTGTTTTGACTTAAGCAATAAAAAGGAGAAGGAAACCACAGCTTAGCTTTGGCAAACAAAGGGACGTTAAAAGTACAGTAAGGAAACAGAGAAGAATGGAGCGGAGGAAAGTGCTTTTGACCTGTGGGGAGTGACGTGACCTCTTGGTTGTGCTGCTGCTGACGTCCTTTTAAAGGGACATCAGTGGCTCTCGTGAGGTCAGTATCAGTGGTGTGATGAAAGAAAACTCTGTGGTTTACAGAGAGTGACGCCCAGGTGTGAGCACGAGGAACAGAGGTTCCCTAGTCTTCAGGTTTCTCACACATCACTTCCCGCTCGTATGTGAAAAGAAAAAGAAATAATAAAAAAAAAGAAAGACAGCTCATACACTATAGAACATCCAACAGGTTGTGTCTTGTTTTCCTCTTCAGCTCCGGTGAGTTATCGCATGTCGTTCTGCCACACCCACAAATCCACACCCTGGGTCATGGTAACAGAAAACACACAAATTGTGTTGGGCACGAAACACTGTGACGTGTGTTCGTTTGCACAGGGATCAGTCACAGGTTTTACAGAAGGAACCAGATTCATTATTCAGAAAATACTAACCAACTACATGTATAGCTACTATTATCTATGCATCCATCCATCCATCCATCATTACTACATTACCAATGTGAAGATTAAGAATGCTCCTAACTGTAACTCACAGACCACTGTGTGCCTTTTACTGGCAATCCCATTTTTCTTCATTAATGTTCGCACAAATTATCTATAAAATTGTACCTTTTTGGTTTATTTTATATTTATTTGATCAACTCGGATCCAAACAGTGGTCTCTTCCTGTGGGTTCACTTCTAATTCTCATCCGTCTTCTAGCGGCCATTTCCTAGAAACTGTCTATGTTTCTTATGTTGTTTTTTTGCAACCACAGGCTGCGACAACCACTTCCAAAAAAGTATATCGTCCAATCAACATCAACCATTATGCCACAAAGAAGAGTGCGGCTCAGAGCATGCTGGACGTGGCCCTGCTGATGGCCAACTCTTCCCAGCTGAAGACTGTTCTCTACGTGGGGCCTCAGTACCGATTCTACATCCCACTTATCGTCCTGTTGTCTTTGTCCATCACGCTGCAGGTGGCAGTGGGACTGCTTCTAGTCTTCATTGGCAAGTATCTCTAATGTCCTGCATTGTTCTCTTGTTTTATTAAATATACAGATATTCCGAATCCTAAAATAACTATCTTTAGATGAACAAACTAAAACTTTTCATAGTTTAAAAAATCATTCCAAAATGAAGATAATCACAAGAAATAATCGACAAGTTAATTCATTATGCTGTGTAGGTTATATATTTAGTGATAAAAAATACAGTCAAAATAAGCTGACCAATTGTATCACAGCTTTTTAATGTATATATTTTTTAAATTTGTTAATCTGAAAATGAAAAAAATATCTCAACAAATCTTGGTGGTCTGTTTTAGAGTACCACTAGGGTGTGCTATTTCTAAACGTTTCCAGCAGATTTTGACAAAAACAATTCCTCTGTGTCTTTCCGTGGCGCTGATATTCTCTGTCCTGTGTTGTTGTGTCAGCAGTGAAGTACGATCTCAACGATGTGAGGAAACACAAAAAGTTGGACAGGATGAACAACGTGGCCACAGTCTTTGTCTTCTTCACAGTTCTCATTAACATCTTCATCACAGCACTAGGTTTTGAGGGCTACAGTGGCAGGTAACTTAACAACTCGATACATAAGAAATGCACACAGCTGTAGGGTCTCCAAAAACCTACAGTAGTTAGTCTTACCATGACACTTCACATTTCCTTTGCGCTTCTATTTGGACTTCACGTCGGTGCTTTATGGACGTCCCAGATGCATTTCTGTCAATGAAGCTTGCACTATTTTCCACTAAATGGGATTAGAAGTTGTAACACAACCAAAGATCAAAAACTGAATTGAGAGATGTAGTCGTGTCACCCCGTCGTCACCCGTTGACAGATAGGATTGGCTCCACCTCCCCGACAACTCAGGGAGAGCCCTACACCCCCACATCCTTCTGCCTTTGGCGGTGAATATTTGTTTCCCGCTTGGTTATGTGCATTTCTTATGTGCTACAGTTTTCTTCTTCAGTCAGAACTGAACAGACGAGCCACATCAAGCCGACCTCTTGTACCAAACTCTCACGACTCCTCTCTCTAATTCAAGGTCGTCATCATCATCACCTGTGGTGATAACAGAGCCAAAGCTCACTGTGCTGCCAAACGACCTGAATATGACCGGTATCAATTGAACCTGTCTCCGGACCAGTGGTACGTCAACTACCTGCGTTTTTTCCAATGAAGCCTTGGGATCAGAGTAGTGAGAAGTATGAGCACAGCAGGACCAGGTGGAACAGGTTTTTATTATCCAATGCAATCTTATCTCCGATAAGTTCACCAAGTAATACCTCGACATTAGCGGCTATCAACTGTATCTTCAATTCAGCATTACAGCTGTAAGAGGATAGAGGATTTCTGAGACGGTACTTGTTGGACTTTTGCTCTTTTCCAAAACACACAGAAAACACACACACACTGTCCATACACATTATAGACACAGACTGTTTAAAGCTTCTGTCTTGTACAATAATTTATTTAGATTGTTTTTGTACAAGTCATACATTGGTGGATGTAAACTGTATCGTTGTTGTGCGCGTAAATATATTTTTCTAACAACTTTGAAAATTTCTCCTATTTACTAGAAATACACACTTATTTATAACTTGTAATTAGCTCTAACCTTCCTTATTTCTACAATTACATTTTAAGGATTCCAGTAGCACTGAACAGACTCACGCACTTCTAAGCACAGTGTCAGGACTTGACGTGACTCAAGCCCCAGACATTTTAGAAAAATTATGGGTATTGTTATCCTAAATACAGGTGTCAAACTCAGGCCCGCGGGCCAAACTGGCCCATGGTGTAATTATAATTGGCCCACAAGATCATATCAAATGTGTATTAGAGCGGGTATTATAGCCGCTATATTCTGGCAGAATTTGTAGTATTAGCAGTGTATGCACTATATCATATCATATGCATTTTTGGTTGGTTGTTTTGCATGTGTTTATTATATTAAGCTTTGATCGTTCCAGATTTAATGTTTACGCAAAACTAAAGTGTTTCCAAAAAATTCATTACAATCTGGAGAGAAGGGAAAACATGAACGATTGCAATCAATTTTTCAGTGAGTATTGACTTTGACCCATGACGTCATCCCAGTTTTTAGTTTTGGCCGACTGTGAATTTGAGTTTGACACCGCTTGTTTAATACATCAGTGCAAATGAGTATTAGATGAACAAAAGGGCAAAATTAAATCATCAATGACCTCTAGCTGCGGGCCAAACATGTGGGTTTTCAGGCCAGAAGTGTCCCACAGACCAGAAGTTTGAGACCCCTGCTGTAAATACTGTAACCACTGTTGGCTAGTTTGACTCATTTGCCTGTGAATGTGGAGAATGTGAAGAATCAAACAATGGCAATAATGGCATAACTGAAAACTGAGTTATATTTGAAATATCAGCCAAATAAAAACGTCTAAAATTAGAATACCTTACTTCCTGTTGTTCCCTTAAAATACATTTGTACTTATTTTGAAAAAAAAAAAATTCTGTCTTTCTAGAAAGCATGTTCCTCTGTGGCAGAAATGCTGCTATCATAAATTTATAGACTTAGTTCTAACTCATGACCAAACAATTGTGGTCAAGGAAACAAATCCAATAATATAGCAAAGAAACAAATAAGCAAAACAATCATCTGTGAGGATAGAAAAAGCTTCCACCAATATCTTTGTGTAGCATGGTTTTGGGGTCTTGGTAAAAGGATAGATATCACAAAACAACATAGTCAGCATATTTTTTAAAAAGTCTTTAAATTATTTAAAAACTTGAACGCCTAACGGGTTAATTTTCATTAAACTTCAGCATATAGTAGACGTAGTAGATGACGACTGCTGTCACCAATGAGACAAACATCAGTCGAATCAGCCACAAAAAGAAGCCCACGCACTTCCTGAGCCAAGTCTTGGGTCGAGCTACTCTTCCACCAGCTGTTCTGGTTCGAATCTGCATTTCAGGCCTGAAGCAAAGAAGAGATGCAAACAGGATGAAGTCCAGGTTGGTATCAAACAGGGTGTGGTCTTGAACCATCTGTGCTTAGGGCAGTGGTTGAAGACTCACCTGGTCCCCCCCGTCAGCCCAACAAATATATTGAACTCACACCAAAGTAAATAAAAAATAAAAGTGCAGTTGTGCCATCACCACTTCAACTTTAAAATGTCCTCCCATTCATCAGACCACCCCTGTCATGTCCCAATTCTCCACCAGTGGGGCCCACCCCACACTTTGAGAAGCCGGGCTTAGGGCAAAATCCTCAGTCAAAAGTAACACTGTACCCTTAGTAATGTATGATGGCACTAATATAAGCAGTAGATCAGATTTAATGAGAATAAAACTTGGTTGGGATCAATAAAGTCTGTCCGTCCATCCATCCATCCATCCATCCATCTATCCAATTATCTACCTACCTACCTACCTACCTACTCATTAATCCAAATTAAAAGTTTGGTAACATGGAAAATACTTACTCTGTGTCTTCTGAGTCCTTGTCTTCATTTAAATCAGCACCACCTCTTTGTCTCACCCTGTGCGGAAAGAAAAAAAATATTACTAAAAATAAGCCCTGAAATCGGTTGGATCAAGAAAAACATATAGATCAAATGCATGATGTCGGACAAAACACTAACACTTTTTAAAGATCCACTTAAATGGAAAAAAAATGGAATATTATTTTTAATGTGTGTAATGTATAAGTATTATAACATCATACTTACAAGCTTGCATAACCCTCACGAGCAACCTTCAAAATAAAATGAGAATAGACTGTGATGCTTTGATTCTTACAGTTTGGGCAGAGACAGACAGACGGACAGACAGACAGACGGACAGACAGACAGACAGACGGACAGACGGACAAACGGACAAGAGGACAATAACTCACCAAAGTGCTATATGGGATGTAGGCAGTTTCATCATCATCCACCTCCTCTGTAAATATGTACAATATTGACAGTAGTAAGTTAGACTGTAAATAAATATATGATCAAACACAGATGTATTTGATGATATTTAAGGCCTGAAGGGCAGCAGCCTACCTTCTTCTCTGTAGTAGTGGTATTCAGACTGAGCTGAAAAAATGCCCATGGCCTTCTCCAGACGCTTCTCATACAGTCTACGAGTGGATTCTATTGTCACACAAAATGAGTGAAACGAATCAATGTAAGATGTTTAAAGATCATAACCTCCCAGTTGTTTCCCACTTGTCAACAAAACAGTCCAGTACATGTATTTAACTGAAAAGAAATTCATTTTGAGCACTACATTTATTTGCAGGTCTTTTAGAAAGCTGCATGTTAGAAAGATAAAGGAGCACATTGAATGGTTAGCTTATTGCTGACTATGCTAATCAGAAGCTCTCACCTAGCCTAGCTTTCAACATTCTTTCCTATATCTTGATGTGGCCGATCACTACTTATCAGTACTTATACCTCTATTGGAAGACACATATATATATAAATATATATATATAAGTATAAGTGTAAATATACATATATATAATGTTGTTGCAATCTCTCCAAAGTAATTTCCCTCTTATTTTTGTTTCTTACCTACAACCGGTCCATGATTAATGCAGTACTCATCCAGTAGTTGAGCGATCTCCTCATTCGTTTTGTCACGTAATGCCATCTGTAGAAATGTTATGTTGGATTATCTAAGTACTTTGTTTTCAGCAGCAACATGTGGTAATGGTAAGAAAGATTAGGTATTGGCCCATAACATAGACTTACAACTTAAAATACAACAGTACAACAAAGTTATGGTAGTTAAGTCAACGTCAATTTAAATGGTCCTCACTGTTGGAATTTTAGTATCTGTCTAGTAAACAGTAAGTAAACAAACAGATCTCTCACCTCAACCAAAACAACACAGTCTGTGCAGAAAGTGTGGTTCTGCTCCAGGGAGACAGCAGCAGGGGAGACGTTACTTTATCTGGACACAGCAGCGTTGTCACCACACCTTCTGCAGCAACAGGGACATGACTCTCGTGAGCAATGATTCTTTAAAAGAAAAGTAATAATCATAATTTCTGCCATGTAGAAGCTGATGACAAATGACACATCAAAGGTTTCTAACCCTGTGTATGAAACTGTTTTCCTTATGATGCATAAAATATCACTACCCCAGAAAATGCACATTTTTTATATTAGTTGCTAACTTCACTATTTATGAGACATGATCAGGATTTCTTTGCAGTATCAACTTTCTTTATCCTACTTCTAAAAACACAAAAGACTTTGGCCAAAATATAAATGAAACACTAGGCTCAGATGTACAGATTTACCCTTTTTTTCCTGTTTGGACAGGTGTTGTATTTGAGAAATGCCCCAGTTAAGAACGTAAAGCTCTTCAAACTTAAATCCACCACTGTTGTAGCCGTCTCAATTACAGGTCTCATCCAAAACACAAAGCTGTAAATAGCACAGATGGTTTCAGAGCAAAGTTGAAGTAGAGAAAACAAGTTGAACAAATGATCAGAACAGAAACACAATGAAATAAAAAAAGTGAGACTCAACTGATAAAGAGGCCAGAACTTTTTTTAAATCTTTGATCTTTTAAGGATCCTTTGAAGTAAAAGATACCATCAGTCTTCCTTGGCACATGATTGGCAGCAGTATAAGGATGTTAAAGGCTAAAGGAAAAACTTGTATAAGGACACTATCAGTTTCCTATGAATATATTTTTACAGTGAGCACTAATAAACAAACTACACAAGGTCAAAATAAAAGCCTTCCATCCTTTCCTCTCCCGGTAAGGCTTGGCACAACACTAGTTATGTCTCAAATCCTCTGGTAGGAGTCAAACCAGTTTAACCTTAACATGGTAATTAGAGCGCGGACGCGTGTAGTTTGGGGTAAACGTTTGACATTACTGCCTCCAAGTGGCTAAACTGAGTAGAGCAGTCTGCTTAGTAACATTTCGTTGAAACAACCAATTATTCTTGACATCAATCACAGAAAGCACACCGTCGATCTGTATTAAACCCTCTATATTGTGCAGTCATCAGTTAAGCATTTTCTGCATTTTGTGGAAATATGAGAGGAAACAAGTTTAGCCAAAACATTTTATTTAACCGTTTTCCATTTAAAACATGGCATACTTCAGACAAAATGCCTGGTTAGTATTCTTCACCTTCATCCTCTTCCTCCAAACTGTCAGCTCCCACCTCCTCATAATCTTTCTCAAGTGCTGCCATGTCTTCTCTGGCCTCAGAGAACTCTCCCTCCTCCATTCCTTCACCCACATACCAGTGAACAAAGGCACGTTTGGCGTACATCAGGTCAAACTTGTGGTCGAGCCGAGCCCAGGCCTCTGCAATGGCGGTGGTGTTGCTCAGCATGCACACCGCCCTCTGGACCTTGGCCAAGTCTCCACCAGGAACCACAGTGGGAGGCTGGTAGTTGATGCCAACCTTGAATCCAGTCGGACACCAGTCCACGAACTGGATGGAGCGCTTGGTCTTGATTGTGACGATGGCAGCGTTCACGTCTTTGGGCACCACATCACCACGATACAGAAGGCAGCAGGCCATGTATTTGCCATGACGGGGGTCACATTTCACCATCTGATTGGCTGGTTCGAAGCAGGCATTGGTGATCTCGGCCACTGTTAACTGCTCGTGGTAGGCCTTCTCTGCAGAGATGACAGGGGCATACGTGGCCAGAGGGAAATGGATACGAGGATATGGCACCAGGTTGGTCTGGAATTCTGTCAGATCAACATTGAGGGCACCATCAAATCTGAGGGAGGCAGTGATGGAAGACACAATCTGACTGATCAGCCTGTTGAGGTTGGTGTAGGTAGGACGATCAATGTCAAGGTTTCTGCGGCAGATGTCGTAGATGGCCTCATTGTCCACCATGAAGGCACAGTCTGAGTGCTCCAGAGTGGTGTGGGTGGTCAGAATGGAGTTGTATGGTTCAACCACAGCAGTGGACACCTGGGGAGCTGGGTAGATGGAGAACTCGAGTTTGGACTTTTTGCCATAGTCGACTGACAGGCGCTCCATCAGCAAGGAGGTGAAGCCAGAGCCGGTGCCACCTCCAAAACTGTGGAAAACCAGGAAGCCCTGCAGACCAGTGCACTGGTCAGACTGGAGAGAGAAAACGAGACACAGATAAAGACAAGTTAGAAATTAGAATGCATTTGACATTTTGAGTTTAATAAAAGAAAATTAAATAAGTTACTTACCAGTTTTCTTATCCTTTCCAGCACCTGATCAATTAGCTCTTTGCCAATGGTATAGTGTCCACGGGCATAGTTATTGGCAGCATCCTCCTTACCAGTGATCAGCTGCTCAGGGTGAAACAGAGAGCGGTAGGTCCCAGTGCGAACCTCATCTGTAGGGGAAATAAATAATACAAAAATTAGACATAAAATTCCAAAAACTGCAACACTTATCCAGAATCAAGCTTGAATTTAAAAAGAACGGCAATGCTGACACCAACCAATGACTGTGGGCTCCAGGTCGACAAAAACAGCTCTGGGGACATGCTTTCCTGATCCAGTCTCACTGAAGAAGGTGTTGAAGGAATCATCTCCTCCTCCAAGAGTCTTATCACTGGGCATCTGCCCATCTGGCTGGATCCCATGTTCCAGACAGTAAAGCTCCCAGCAGGCATTGCCAATCTGGACTCCAGCCTGACCAACGTGTATGGAGATGCACTCACGCTGTAGAGAGAGAGAGAGAAAAAAAACACGTTATAAAAGAAATGCTAAACATTACGTTGTCTTTCCAAAGCTAGTGCTAGCGACCACATGTTGAAAACGGTCCTGGAACAAAGTAACGCTCAATTTACAATTTTTAAATAATTTTCATTGCGTGACTGACACGGTGTCAACTGGGGGGGTGGGGAGGGGGAAGAGAAAAATCAACAGATAGTGTAACCTAATTGCAATAAAGGAAAATTACGGATGTCTTTCGACATCAAGCAAAAACGTCTATAACGACTATTGAAATGAATCCGGGTAACAAAAGAATATGTTGAAAATGGTTGCCGTTTTAGGCCAGACCTAATGTAGGTGGAATTATAAAATTAGCTCCACCTCTGGAAACGAAAAAAAAAAAATGTCTGAGGTACTCTAACTCGCATTGTGGGGGAGGGGTTTTACCTGCATTCTCTCGGCTGTTTCTTATCTATGACAATGACAGCTCATTCTATAGGCGGCAAAACTGAGGAATGTGAAAGGCACATTGCCCTTCAGCAACTGGGTCAAACCTAACTGCAAGGGCATAAGGCGCGAGGTGAAAGACAACTACATTTAAAATAAATCTCAAATACACCAAAAATGGCGTATGTCTGGTCTACAGCTATAAGGTTTAATAAAAACGTATATTGAATTTCAACTTATGTTTACACCGCAACTATTTTTATATTAATAAAAATAACACGTTCAAATCTAAAACAAATGAAAACCAATTGTCTTACCATTTTTCTGAAGTACTGACGTCACTTCAACCAAACTTTACTCTCACGAGGAAGGAACTTCGGCTCCTGTGTAAGAGGTAACTGAATAAATGTGGCTGGGAGGAGTTTTTATACTCCTAGACCGGGCGGGAGAACCTAGGAATTTAATTGGTCTAAATGCGCCACATGATCATCTTCCGTTGTTCCTATTGGTTAGCGTGAAAGTAGGACGAAATTTCTTCTTTGAAAAGCCACAAACGCAATGCGGAAGTTGAGCAATCCGAACTGATATGAGGCGTTCAAGGGTTTCGGCGAAAAACTTTTTTCTCTGGCCTGCTCTTTGCCCAAGTTTTTGTTACCTAAGCATTCGGTCACATAACGACACCGAAGTGATTTGGCGTCATCTTTTGACACCTGCTAGGCTTTATAAATCAAATAAATTACAGGTTTATTATGCGTATAGACAAAGGCTACAAGGCGGAAGTAGATAAATGAACTGTTTAACACAGACAGCATAAGAACATTTATTTATATATTCGTGACAATGACGGGAAGAACCTCTGCTGGTTTCATAAACATATTCGAATAAACGGTAGCAAAATTCTGACTAAATACCAATGTCAACAAATAATGAAATTAGTCACCAAATCACTAAATGGAGGTTACATTTGGCAACGCTCGATGGATTTTGCAAATAAAAAGAGACCATGTAGTACGGTTAGACTGAAGCATGTAATAAAGCAAATAACAATTACATAAACACGGTGCAAAGGTTCAAGTGAAACATTTGGTTTTTAAAGGCTACGAGAATAAAACATTTCCTTAGTCCCCTAAAACGCGGTGTTTCCCAACTTTTTCAAGACCCGGCACATGTTTTACATGGCAAAAATCACACGAGACACCATCAATATATGTCAACATGACAATTTGGAAAGCTCTAAAAGTCTCTTGTTTAAAAATCTTATCGTCCCTTGCTGCCCTCTAGTGGAACAAATTCCATTGCTCTGCATGCCAATGTAATGAAAGTCCATTTCCGGCGCTTGCATAAAAAAAAGAATCATAATACATAATAGTTTTCAGATCAATAATAATAGGAATTATATCATTTTCCACGCTACAGCAGGTCACAGCTGATAATCTCTCACATCACACTAATGTATAGTGTTTGGAAATGCTCTAACAAATGTGCAAAAGAATGAATAACATTACTATGAAAATGTAGCAAAGCTTTATATTAAACAAGGCATATTGCAATGTGTGTTGTACATTGTTACTTTGCATTAAGTAATATTGTTTTAAATATATTTTACTCATATAAATATTTACTCATAATAGTGGCTGTGTGACATTGACTTTAGAAACATACCCTGTCATCTGACATCATTAGCATCGTAAATACTACATCTATCAATTTATATTTAGATAAAGAAAAAGGGGAAGTTTGCAAAATAAATTGTATAATAATTTAACATTTTCACAACCCACCCACCCACAGTTGCTTCATCTCCTTCTAGTGTTGACCTTAATGAAAACTTCTGATGTAAAGTGAAAACAAATCCACGCACAGACAGTCTTACATTGACAGAAAAATACTTAGACAACTTTATTGTGTATCAAAATACTGTCTTACAAACACTTTTAAAGCCTTTTATTTAGGACAAGATCCATTTTTTGTTCAAGAATATAGATTATGCACAAAGCAAGCTACGAAGATGAATGGGGTCCAAAAGTGGGTGATGTTTAAACACGGAGCTAAAAGATCAACTAATTTTGTCTCAATTCGGTCCATCACAATTCATGCTTCCCCCTTTCACAGGACAGACAAACCAAATCATCGTCAGCCCTTATGTCAACAACTTCACTGAACTTCCCTTTTTTATCCCTTTTCATTTTTATTAAAACTTGTGGTCCGCAGCCAAAGGTGAACTACCTAAACCACATTTCACGCCAATGGAATTCAGTATCTTTCTACATGTGTGGAACAAAAACACTTCAGCATAAAAGGTAGAAAAGGGGTGACAGGGAAAAGTAAGCTACAAGGAAATGTGTCCTCTCTCCGTTAACCTTTGTTGTCCTACTGAATATCGTCATCTCAAGTACTCTGTCACTTTTCCGTTTTATTAGGAACAGCAGTGGCTAAAACTGGATCACACTAGCAGCATGTTTAACAATCAGGTTAGCTAAAGAACATTGTGAGCAACATGCATCATGGTGGATTGAGCCAGTGCTGCAATGAAGATGATATGATTGGGACAGGCTTGTTTTGTTTTTAATTGGACAGTTGAAACAGGAAGTGTCACATATAATCCCACAGATCAGAATCCAAAGACAGACTGTCTATAATAAAAATGAATCAATGTTTGTATATAAGAGTAGCTCCTCCAGTGTAAAATGCAACCTTTCATCTAATGCAGGGTCTAGAACTACTGTTGCTGCTAAGCTAAGCTAAAGCTATCCTAAAACTAGATTAGACCAACCTGCTCAGAAAATGTAAAACAACCTAAGGCACAACTGACTGCCATCTTACAGTAAATGTAAAAGGTGCTTCTTTTCTATTCCTCTCCATTATTATACCGAAGGAAGGGATTAACGACATTAACAAATGGAGTGGTGGTTGTGAAAAGAGAGGAACTTTCAGTGTTTATTATTCATCTTTGGGAAAGATCCTGAAATGAGTAGTAGCAGAAATCTGGCTGATGGTAATCACACATGTGACAGTGTCATTGTTGTGGTTTCAAGACAGAACTATTTGTGAGTTTGCCGCTATACACTTAGAAGAAAATCTGAAGGATTTATTGTAAAACAAGATGCAAAAATGACCAGGCATGTCAACTTGTAATATTGGAGGGGCTTGTGTGGCTGTAAACATCAATTAGTTAGATTAAAGATGGAATTTTTATTTTTATTTTGAAACAAACACTGGTTTTAAGTTTGTTGACTATGGGCTGGGATTTAGACAGTGATGTGGTATGGACTGCCTGGGATGTGTTCATCTCCCCATTTGATGACCAGGATGTACTCTCCCTTCTCTTTGAGCTGGTAGCTGACGTTGTACAGGCGGTTGCCCAGATGTTTGACTAGGATCTCCTCACAGGGCACCTTAGGACCATCGACGCCAACTAGGAGCATGTTACGACCTGTGGATGAAAACACCCCTTCAGTACTAGTAGCTGAGCGAGCAACTTAACATGAGTGATATGAACAAAAAAAACTAAGCTTTTTACAAAAATCAAAGTTTGATACAGTTTGTTCCTTAAAATTAACAATAAAATTTTAAAAGTTCAACCATGAGTTTGTAGAACCATGAGTTGTAGAACGTGTATACAAAACCGTTCTTTTTATCGTGCAGTCATTCGATGAGGTCTGCCTTGTCAAAATTCTCTGCTCCTACTCACCAGCTTTGCTGCAGTCAACACTGAAGCTATTCTTCTGACCGATGTAGCCCTTGGTCAGACCCAGACCCTTAGCCACCACTTTGCTGGCATCTGATTGGATGGGAGCTCCCTGCTGAGTGCCGCTGATGGCACGGGTCACAGGGTCAACCATTACAGAGGAGGTTTCGTGCATGCTGTGGCTGGACACGAGCTTGGAACCTATAAGACAAAGAAGATGAATAGTTAATAAATGACTAAATAAATAAACTCCCACTCAAGGTTTTCAGCAGGCTTTTTTGAAATATTCCTCACCAGTGATCTTGGCTTTGAAGGGACTTCCAACAATGTGGTAAGGGCCACCATATTTGATGGAGATGAGATAGTTGCCAGGAGCCATTGGGGTGTATGTGACCCTGTAGCCCTCAGGACACTCCACGCAGTCCATCTTCACCTTAGATGGCCCGTCAATGGTCACAGCTAAGGCCCCGGGGCCGGCGTTGCTGGTGTTAACAACAAATTCACAAGAAGTTCCTGTGTGGAGTTGGGAAGAGGATGTGTTTTAATGGAGAGATTGCCACCTCCCCTAGACCAGTAACTAGTATCTAGTATCAGGCTTTGTGCAGGATCAAGAAACGGCAGGAAACAGATGTACTGCATTTCATTGTCAACTCTTTTCCTGGAAATGTATTTTTTTAAAACACATCTCAGGGCTCGTAAAATGCCTTTGAAAACAATTGCTTTCTAAACTTGGACACAGCCTTATTCTCCAGTTAACTTCAAAACATCACCTGTGGTGCCTCCCTCCAGTCCTGGTCCATAAGCCGACACCATGCCAGGATCTCCAGACTGGCCTGTCTCTCCAACTCTGATCTTGAATGGACTTCCTGGAATGTGACTTCCATTGAACTTAACGTCAATAAGATAAAGACCGTTCTCTCTGGGGATGAACCGCACTGCGTATTTATCTGGACAAAGAAGTATCAATGATTAGTTGATAGGTCACAGACAAATACAACATGGCCTTCAGCGACACACTCGTGGAATATAATCTGATAAAGAAAATGTTGCCACTCTTTGTTACCTTGGTCAATCTCTGTGACACAGCATTCCTCCAGGGCTCCAGACGGGCTGTGCACCTTTGCGTCGATCACACCCTTGGCTCCATTAAGGCTGACGGCAAACGATGCTGGCTGGTTCACCTTCAAACCGGACTCCTGCTCGACAACACATACTCACACGCTCAGCGCTGTCCAATTTGTCTGACCACACACTTATTTTAGTGACCTTTAGTGTTGACACTGAGGACACTGGCTTTATGCTCCTTTCGGCATCTATTTGCTAGGTGACGATATAAACCTCAAAATGAAATGCTTGGGTCATCATGTGTCTTTAGGCTAATATTTTTAGCTAACTTTTTATCATCTATATTTCGTTGTATTACAATTTTTTTGTCTGTCTATCTAGCCAGTGTAGCCTAGCATATGATAACTGTTTGCCAACTTTTGGCTAAACCTTCAGTTTTTTGTCACACCTTTTTAATTTATATTTGGTTAACTCTATTTTTGTTACCATTTACCCAATAATAGTCTTTAATTATCTTTTGGCTAATACTCCATTAAGCGTACTTAACTATATTCCTGTTCTTTTACTAAACCTTTAGCAGTTCCCCCGCTCTGGAACCAGTGTTCAACCATCAGCCTTCTAACTCCCGCACACTGTATCTAGATAGCAAAACAATTGTAGCAGTATTACACCCTAATAACATACAGTAATGCCATTATACAGTATACTTTACCTGGAGGTCGCTAACAAGGCTAAAGAGGAGGGCTGTGCAGTGAAAAGTGAAGTGAAAGAGCAGGTTTGTGTGAAGCTTCATAGAAAGCTGAAGAAAAAGTCATGTTTTTGAAGAAGAAAACGGCCAGATAATTACGGTCATGTCTGTGATGGGGTGAGTCTTCATGCAGATCAAAACCTAGCACATGTTAATGCACGACTGTCTGCTTTTTAAACCCTATTCTGTGAAAGAACATGTATAAACATATATATAAACACAATTAGAAGGCGACTGGAAGGCTAAATGTTTTTTTGTTTGTTTGTAAAATTCATATTGTTGGACTTGTATATGTGAACATTTTTATTATCAAATGTGTTGGTCAGCCTGATACGGTATTTAGCACTCAGATTTGTAAAATTTCTTACACACTGTCCCGTAGTTAGGTGCTGTAACGTCTGAAAGAGGAAGAGAAAAGAGAAAAAAACAGCCCATCTCAGACCCTCTTTAACCTTTTAGCGCCCCCACTTGACTTTTAAAGGCAGGAGGCTATTGACAGCCTTTAGAATGAGGCACGAGAAACACACACATTCCTCTAAATATCCCAGAAGCCCTTGCACATTCCAACAATGCAGCAGCAGGATGCCTAAAGCCCCATCATAGTGGTGCATCGGTCATAATTCACTGTAAATGTGTTAATTAATACTGTGTTGAAGTGAGGTTATCCAGTGTTGAACATTTGTTGTTAATGCAACTGCACAGAACCTAAACTTTTTTTTTTAGAAGGTTGTTGCTGCTGCTGCTGCACTGTGGGCAGTGTCCTGTGGCCTGGTTTGTGCGCACACGGATGTGTGTCTGTCTCAGAGCCTCACCTGAAGACTGGCAACAGTAAGGCGACGGGCGTCGTCTGAAGGCGAGGCCACGGGAACGATGAAGGGACTGTCGGGGATGTGCTCATCGTTGAAGCGGATGGAAACCTCGTAGTCTCCTGTGGGGGCAGGAGTTTGATGTCAGGAGGGGAAAAGGACACAGAAGTCACAGTGCGGTTGAATGATCACTGGATGTGTGTGTGTGTGTGTGTGTGTGTGTGTGAGGTGTTGTTCACTTCCAGTCCATACCCAGAGGTCCCATCAACCACGAACACTGACATTGGTTAGTGTGTCTCATTAAAGCTGCAACAATAAGTTCTATCTATCCAGTGTGAGGCTGTTATTCACACCTACCCCATTATTACACAGTTCAAGATTTCTCATTTCCCCATCACCATCTCTTTTCTCACCAGGCTCCTGCACAATGTAGGACACTCCACTGGAGCCATCCTTACGGTCCTCAAAGGCAATTTCAGCCTTGCTCGGCCCCTCCACAGCAATACTGAGACCCCCGGCTCCAGCCTCTCGCGTCCAGATACTGAACTCGGCTGCACACATCACAAGGTTGAAACAACTTCAGCTATAAAACATACTTAATGAAGAAGACAACGACGAAGAATACAATGACCGTCAGCACTAACCTGGAACTCCAGCTTCTGCTCTCTCCAGGCCTGGTCCTCCAGCACGAACTTTGTGAGCTCCACCTTCTCCCAGAGGGCCCACAGTGAACTGGAAGGGACTTCCAGGCACATGCATGCCATTGTATTTCACACACACAGTGTGGACACCTGTCTCGGTGGGGACGAAGCGAATGCAGTAGGTGTTGTTCTCTCCTTCCATGATGTCAGCCTTGTGGATCTGTCCAGACGGGCTGGTCACCTGAGCGGTCATGTCGGCTATGCTGATCTCTGTAGGGAGAGTAGAGAGACAAGTGTCAATCAGTGAAATCCAGTCCAACCAACACAGTCATCTTCGGCTACATTTTACAACAGTTCAAACATAAAAGTCCAAACATTCTGTTTTTTTTTTCACCTGGGATTTTGAGGCTGAGGTCACACTGGCTGCCCACATTAGCCACCGATGGTGCTCTCCTCTTCCTGGTGATGCTCTCCTTCATTCTGCCTTCTCCGGTTACTTTAACTGTAAAAGCACTTCCTGTGCACAAACACATCCAGAATCTTTCAGCTTAGTAGTTCAGAACAGCAACCAAGTCTTATTCCGTAGTTTGTGGTTGTTGTAAGGCAAGTACGTAAGATGAGCACCTGGCACATGCTGGTCAGAAAACTTGATGTTGATGATGTAATTGCCTGGCTCTGTAGGGCAGTAGGTGACCTTGCAGGTGCCATCTTCCTGGTCCTCAGTGTTGATGTCCACTTTACTGGGTCCCTCAATGGACAGACTTAAACCACCGTAGCCTGCATGGAATAATGACAGGTTGGTGTTTGAAATAAAAACAAGACGTTACCGTTGGGGATGTAACTGCAGATCAGCAAGACTGAAGCCAACCAGCTAGCTTCTTAACTACTATCACTAAATGTTGTGGTCACCATGAATGCATTTACCTGCATCACGTGTGTCGATGATGAACTCAGCTGGCTCAAATGTCCTGGCCTCACTCAGACCCTGGCCGCTCACGCGTACGCGGCTGGCGTCTCCGATCTCCGATTGGCTGATCATAACAGCAATAGGGCTGCTGGGAATGTGGCGACCATTCTTCTTGATGTTCACCAGGTGCTCACCGATCTCCTTAGGAACAAATGAGATACCTGCAGCAGACACATGCGCAAAAAAGAATATGGATTTCAAATGAGGACCAAAAACGTATTTATTTTTCCCCTGAAGTTGTCCTGAGAACCATTCTCACCAACGTGTCCGTTACGCAGCATCTTCAACAGACAGGGCTCCTCACGTCCTGAGGGTGTGGTCAGGGAGGCAGTCAGCTGACTGAGGTCAAACTCTCCAATGTCCAGTGGGATATCTGCTGCTGAGCCCACCTTCAGATGGGACATCCTCATGGAGTCATCACCTGGAGACACAGCAAGGGTCAATCAGAGAGTGGGACAAAGCTGTGGTTCTGAAACGACCGGATCAAAATCAGCCTGAGCTAAAATGAGTTTTAAATTAAATCAAATGCAGATCACAATAAAATAACACAAATTCACATTTGCACCCGTGAGGAGTAGAAACATCTGACAAACAACGTTTGCAGTGAGTCTTGAAAAAGAATGATTTTGCAAAATTATTGTGTCTTGTTACTAGTGTTGGTACTAATACTAGCCTAAAGAGTTTAAAGCACCATGCAGCTGTTATACTGCAAACAAGTGGGACAAACTACCACCACGAATAGTCAGCTGCAAAGTGATTTTTTGTTGAATCTAGTATAAAAACATCAACCTCTAAAATCATTTTATATGCATCCATAGTTAAATTCTGTTCCGTCCTTTTTTATTCTTTTTATATTTCTCTATAAATTAATTTAAAAAATCTCTTTCTATTGGCATTAGCGTTATTTATTGCAGAGTTTATTGTAGAGTAGTTTGTGAAATGCAGCATACCACCCACCACCCATGCCTCAAAGCTAACCATGGTTGATCAATGAAACATAGAAAAAAAAAAAGGAAGTTAGAAAAGAATGTTTAGGATGTATGATAAATGACAAGGTTGGATGATGTTACCAGTAATCCTAGCAGCGAAGGGGCTGCCAGGGATGTGCTTGTCATTGTATTTGACCAGGATGCTGTAGTCTCCGGGCAGGACAGGCAAGTAGGACACAGTGCACGTCCCGTCTTGGTTGTCCACACAGCTGATGTCAGCCTTGGATGGACCCTCAATGGCCAGAGACAGACCACCTAATGAAGACATGAGTGAAGGTGAAGGTGAAGATGAAGCCTCCGATTATCAGAAATGATGGGAATGACATTTAGTTTGTGAGAGCTTCAAAAAGCCAACTAATGTGTTCCAGTAGACTTCAAACCTTCTCCAGCATCTTTGGTGTCAACAGTGAAGATGGCAGGCTTGTTGACGGTGCCGTGGATGAGACCAGGACCATAGGCGCTGACGTTACCGCTGTTCATGTAGTCAACGTAGAACTGTAGAGGACTTCCTGTGGGAGACAGGAAACAGGTTGCATTAGTAAAATGTTTCAGTTTAAAAACATATATGTTAATTATCTCCATGTTTCTGCAAATGCAAACTGTACCAGGGATGTGGATTCCATCATATTTGATGTCCATCTCATGCAGACCAGCCTCAGTGGGCGCGTACTTAACCGTAACTGTGCCATCTTTGTTGTCGGCGATGTCGGGTTTGGCAACCTTGCCTGATGGCATTCGGACCTCACCTTCAGCAGTGAAACAAAGTCATGTGCATCATGTAGGTCAATAGGTCAGAACAGACTCATTACTAGAAAAACATGAATGACTTTTCGGATCACGACAAACATGTGATCTACCTGTGATCTCTCCTTTCTGAATGGTGAATGGAATGACCAGGTCGAAGGGTCTCAGCCCTGCCACATCCAAACCGTTGAGTCCCATTGGTCTGTCCGTTGCCTGTTTGTTTGACAGATGAACAAATATCATGATGATGGTCATATCAACAGTGAACGCCGCGTTATCACAGCGGACGTAACCAACACAGTACAGGACAGATATGCAAGCTTCCAAACACCAACAAACGGAATGGGACTAAAAGAATCGTGGAGGTGATTGATGGGAGAACAACAACTGTGGTCAAGATGAGGATGATGACACTGACAAACACTGCAAGAGAGAGAGAGTGAAAAAAGATGAGGACAAAAACACTGGCAGGTCAGGGAAAGGAGGGTGGAGGAGGAGGATGCACAGTTGGCCATTTTGTTAAATGTGGCGCAGGCCACATTGGTGATTGTCAAAATGGCTGGTTTTGTCTCACAATGCTGAACACATGGGCTGCACAGGGAAGATAAATCCCCAGGTACAAATTAAACCATTAAACTATTTTTAATTTTCCCCACTTCTGTCGCATTTGTCCATGTGTCTGAGGAATCCTGTTCCTGAGAAAAAGTGACATAAAAGAACCCTCCATGGCACAGAGATGAAACACCTGCAATGAGCAGCAGCCCAGAGGGCAAAGGGGGGAGGGGGGTTGCTGGAGGCAATGATGGGAATGAGAGATGAAAATTTAGAATCTAAACAACATGGATGCGAGAGATGGAGGCAGAGGTTGTAGGTACCCAGGGCTGTTGAGCGTAGTATTGGGGCATTTGGCTCTGCTGCATGAGTTGGTCTGATGGAGCTCCTTCCAGTGCCTGATAGGGATGGGAGGTTAAAGGTGAGAGGTGGAGAGGGTACAACATAAGAAAGAGAATTATGTAAAATAATAATGGGAAAAAAAGAAGTCTAAGTGATGAAAGGAAATGTCTTGTGCCAAAGAGCCAACTGAAAAACCTCTGTAAAAGCACGTTTCACAGATGTCTGCGGCTGCTCGTCTGCTTATTGACGTACCACAGTACAATCTGTTCTGTTCTGTTTTAAACAAAATGTTAAAAACCTTGAAGTGGGTGAGAACAATCTTTTAAGACTGTATTTTGAAACCCTCAACTAAAAATGTATGTTTTCACTAATCAATGCAGTAAATGATGCTGAATTCATCTTTATGCAGATGATATGATGATTATCTATGAAAGTTTCTATTCTCAACAGTTCACCTCTGTGTGAATTACTGTTCTACTTTTCAGAACCTGGTATCTTTACCAATACTTTCTATCTGAACTTGATTGGAGGGATTCATTAAAACACACTTTACATACGTAAACAAATCAACTGGAACCTAGAAAACAAGTAACAAAGTATTATTTATATGTACAAAAGTGTAATGGTTATCACGCCTGCCTTACACATCTGCATTACACACAGTGGGTAGAGGCCCACAGGAATCACATACTAAATAGCGCCCTCCTGTGGCAGCATGTGTGGGTTGCAAATACTCACTCTGTGATTATGGGACAAATAAGGGAAAAATGACGATTGAAGAAATCACAAAAGAGCAAATCATTACTGATAATGACTGCTGTAGGTCAATTTCCCAACCAAAAAAAAAAAAACCCTTGTCAGTTCACGACCCTCTGATTTTTAGTCTGATGGTTTTAATGGCAGTTAGACATAACATTATTGGTTATATGGTTCTGTACTGGCCATTGTACAGTCTGTGTCACATTCTGCTTCTTTTTGGTTTATGAATTTTTACATGTCGTATCGCAAAAAAATAATATACTGAACCGTTGGTAAAACCAGTGCCGAAACACACAGGACTCACCGTGACTTGGAAGGGACTGTTAGGTATGTGCTCGCCTCCGAAGCGGACGCAGATGACATACTCGCCGGGCTGTGGCGCAGTGTAGAAGATGTCAAAAGTGCCGTCTTCGTTTTCAACAACGTCCACGTCAACCTCTGCCCCCTCGGGCGTACAGACGGTGCATGTCACTTTGCCTTTTCCAGCAGCCTTGGCGTCAACTGTGATGACTGTCTGCTCGCCAATTTGAATGGTCGGGCCAACGCCAGCGCCTTGGGGAGAAAGTAAAATGTGATCGTATTTATCCGCGTTCCACTGACACAAAGTTACTCGCACTGTCTCACACAAAACTCTCAGCATGCACATTCCACAACCATGAGACCAGGTTAAGGTTGGATGGAGTCTAGTCATGTTATTATCTGTCTAAAGTTCAGTAAATTGTTACCATCGACTAACAGAAATTCCACTTAGGATTGGGAACTAGATCGCTCAAGTGCCATTCCACCATGCCATCCTACCTCCACTGTTAGTCCATTAGTCTGTCCAGTAAAAGAGTGAGAGGAATACAAATGTAAAGTTATTAGACGGGAGCCAAACTTATAAAAAATGAGAGAAGGAAGAAAATAGTTAAGGAAGAGAAAGAGAAGGAGAAGAAGCAAAGAGAGATGGGGTTTCCTGTTAAAGGCTGGTGCTATTGTGCTAGATGCTGTCAGAGAGTCGAGGAGGGAGAAGGAAGAGGACTTCCTGGACATGACAAAGTCATTCAGTAGGCTTACCTAAACCATGACCGCCGATTGAGACTGACAATAGGAACGGTGAGAAGCAGGAGGAACGGGGGAAAAACAAAAAAAAAAAAACAGTGACAAATGAAAGAAAGTCAGGTGAGGGTGGGGGTGATGTGAAGCAATAACTGTGCTCTAAACACTTGAAATAAATTAAAAAAACAGTGATAGTGGAGTGTGAAGCAGGAGGTGGGAGAGCTATATATGAGGGTGTTTGTGTGTACGTATGTACTGTGTGTAGCTAAGGAGCACAGCGTGAGAAACAACACACCTAGAGATAATAAATAAGACAGAAGCAGTAGGTAGGAAACTGTTAAGATGTCAGCTTTTTTTTTCTTTCCACACTTTTTATTTGGTTTTATTTGGCTGATAATTAAAATAAATAAATAAATCGGGATCAAGGACATTTTACGTCACAATGACTTCTTTTGTCAAAATGAACTGTGTTGAATTATGGCCAAAGAAGTTATGGTTTGGGTTTAAACTGTAGGCTTGTGTTGAATTATTGTCTTTTGTCCTCTAAGGAGGATCCTTGTATATAAAATTGTCATCACGTTTTATTGGAAAAAAAAACAACCCAAAAACAAACAAACCTTGAACTAGTAATTAACAGTACAATAGCAGTCTATACGGCTGAGCAGCTGATTTGACAGAAAGAGGTCACAATACTGTAGCAGTGCTCAGCCGAGTGGTGTGGTGAGACTTTGTGGTGGGGGGTGGATCGAGGGAGAAGGAAGGGGGCAAAGAGTTTTTGGGGGCAAAAAGCAGTTCAATTCTCACCAGCCCTACTCCACTGCAATGAATGAAAGCCACTGCAGAAGAACTTAACTCTGACATGTGGACAACAGAGTCAGTAGGGATACAAGTCATCCACTTTTTATCTTCCTCACTTCCTGGTTTTGTCATGATTGATATCAAAGATTACCGACAGATAATGTGTTTCTTTTACCATAGAACAGAACTCTCGTACACAGGCTAAAACATGTCAGTATAGTAACTATGGCTCTCTTGTCCAGAGCAGCACCAACGTACGTACCTGTGACTGTGCACTTGCTGGCGTCTCCGGTGGGCAGGGCTCTGATACGGTAAGGTGAATATGGGATCTCATCCCCTCCGTACTTAATGAGGATGGTATATCTGCCCGTCATGTCGGGGACGTAGGACACCAAGTATGTGCCATCGTGGTTGTCGCGGATGTTGGCCTTCTTCGGTTTGCCCTCAGGGTCCTGCGGAAAAGCAGAATGACTCAAAATGTGAAAAGAAGCCTCACCAAAGGTCTGCGTTTTTTTGCCTCTGCATCATGTACAGGGACTCACCGTGATCTGCACAGCCAGGAGTCCCTCTCCTGCATCTTTGGCATCGATTGTGAATTCCACAGGCAGAGAAGCTGGCACCCCAGTGGTGTTGAGGCCTGGCCCGCTGGCACGCACTTTACTGGCATCATGGGTGGGCAGCACCTTTACCTTGTATGGGCTGAAGTGGAACAAAAGCAGCTCTATCAGTGGTCAGTTGAAACATACAGGAAGTTGATCAGTGACTGATCGATACATCTGTGTTACCTGCGTGGGATCTCCTCATCAGCATACAGCACGTTGATGGAGTAAGGCCCCTCTCTGGTGGGAACGTAGTTGACGGTGTGAGTCTGGTCACCGTTATCCACCACTTCCACAGGCTCCACCACGCCTTAACACACACACACACACACACACACACACACACAAACACACGTCAGGCACTGCATGTTTCTTCTAACTATTCTAATTACATAATGTGAACAACTGTTGCATCCTACCTTTTGGTCCTTGCACACGGACCTGCAGTGGGGCCACTCCAGCTTTGGAAGCATCCACTGTGAAGGCCTGAGGAATGTTGGCCCTGACATTGTTGCCCAGGCCTGGACCTTGGCATTTGACCTTGGTACTGTCCACTGTGTCACTGACTGGCACAGAGAACGGACTACCTGCTCAGACAGAGACCAAGTGAGGGGAGTTGAAAGTACTGTAACTTAAGTTATTGAACAGCTTTGACAGTCTGGGTACAATCTTAATGACAGGCACCGTCTGTCAATCATTGCTTTCCTGTACCTGTGATAGGCTGTCCTCCATAGGTGATGTTGAGGTTGTAGGTGCCAGGCTCATACGGGATGTACTCAACACTGCAGCTGCCGTCTTTATTATCAGTGCAGGACATCTTGGCCTCGGATGGACCCTCCATGGCCAGACCCAGACCACCAGTGCCGGCTCCTCTGCAAAGAAGTTGATGGACATTTTAAATATAAACAGTACACCAGTGCCGGCTCCTCTGCAAAGAAGGACATTTTAAATATAAACAGTCTATGTGGTTGTATTAAAAAGGTGATTGGTTTCTCTCTCCTGTCACACACCTGGTCTCCACTGTGAACTTGTTAGGCTTATTGGTGATTCCACCTTTCAGGCCAGGGCCGTGCACGTGAACCCTGGCTGGATCACATCCCTCTGTGACCGCAACACGGAATGGACTCTTGGGCACCGGAGAGCCATCGTAGCACACCTCCACACTGTGGGGGCCTAAGGAGCATTAAAGAAGCTTCTCATGAGAATTCAAAAACTCTGGAATAGAAAGTAGACAAACGCTGCTTTGTACTTACCCTCTTCATAAGGAGTGTACTCCACATTGTAGGTGCCATCTCCCAGATCTGTGATCATAGCGTCAGTGCGACTGCCTGATGGGTTAGCGATGAGAGTTTTGATGTGGTCACCTCCCTTCTGTGAGAGAGCACGAGCGTCCACAGTAAAGTCTGTAGTCGCCTCACGGAAAACACCTGAGAGACCACAACGGGGATTACAAATCCTGGGAATTTAGGCTTGGTTTACATCAAGGTAACGCTCTGTGCTGTCTACTCGTCTTAGATTACGTGATTTTTGCACCTTTGCCCTCCACTCCTGGCCCAAAGACACGAACTCCACTGGTGTCAACTGCGGGCTCCACGTTGAGCCGGGCAGGGAAGTTGGGCACATCCTTGCCACCATAGCGGATGGTGAGTGTGTACGAGCCAGGGTACAGAGGGATGTAGGTGATGGTGTAGGTCCCATCTCCGTTGTCCTGGATATGGACCTCAGCCTCGGTGCCACTGTCCGAGATGATCTCGATGGTCAGTTCTGCCGGACCAGCATTTGTACAGTCCACGATGAACTCTCCTGTTTCCCCGACCTTGGCTCGCTCCAGACCTGGCCCAGAGCAGCGAACCTAATAATGAGAATAAAATTAGTGTGATGAGAAAATCAACAATCTGTGTATTAGCCAAAGTTGACGGTCAACATAAGATATGGATCAGTCCTACCTTGGAGGGGTCTGTAGCAGGGTAAGCTGTGGGGGTGAAGGGTGATCCAGGGATGGGAGCACCGTCATAGGTCAGCTCCACCTGGTATGGCCCAGCCTCTCGTGGAATGAACTTCACCTGACTGGTTTCTGGACTGAGTCCTGGCTCAACCTGAAGTTAGAGAAGGAAGAGATTTGTATTTTACATAAACAACATTGTTTGGCATAAATGTGCCAGTCAAAACACAACCAGGATGATTTAGTGTTACTTGAGGTTTTTTAGTTTCTTGTGTATCAGTGAGATTGAGAAAAAACACCTAATAAGTTGTTCAAATATATTTCTTTATATTTTCCACAAAAGTATCAAGAATCAGTTTTTCATCCAATTCATCCAACTAATCCTGATTAGTGTCTGATGGAGGTTACATAACAAGAAAAGAAGAAGAAGTTCACACCTTGCTGGCCACAGGTTTTCCTGAAGGTCCAGTCACCACAGCAGCAACCTTTCCCTGACCTCCAGCACCCTTTGATTTGACTGTAAATTCCTGGTCTTTGCCCACGGTCATCTCTAACATGACACAAAGAAACCAGAATGTAAAAACACTGACCCAGAAACCAGTGAAGACATAATAACCAGAAGTGTATTATGACTAATGAGTGACCAATGGAAAGAGCCTTACTGTCTGGGAGGCCTGTGACGTTGATCTTGCTGAGGTCCAGACTGGGAGCCACGCCCACATTGAACGGGCTCTTGGGAATATGGTCTCCCCCGTAGGTCACAGCAACTCCCAGAGGCCCCTAGTGGCAAAAACAGAGCAGTTACACAGATTACACTTACATTTATGACCTAGAAAAAAAAATCCTTGTTCTGGGTTATGCTCTTATTCTGAACACATCACTGAACTGACACACCTTTAGTTAACTGACTCATGGTTTCTGTTGAATTAATGTATCGTTTATCACGTTTGAAATGAGTAATGGTTTGAAGAGTCTCAAGGTTGCTGAAGCTAATGCTAGCTAGTATACTTGACTTTTTAGAATTCAAAATTGAACATGTCACGTCAATGTCACTCACTTATTCCTAAATAGGTTCTAGTAGAACAATCAGTGTGTTTTCCTACCTGCTGTACAGGTGTGTATTTGACAGTGTGAGTATTGTCGTGGTTATTGATAATTTCAAAGTCTTTGACGGCTTCTCCTTTGGTCGGGCTGCTGAAGCTGCAGTCGAGGTTGGCCTTTCCTGCTCCTTTGGTGCTGACTGTGAAATGGGTGGGTTTGTTCAGTTCAATGCCTGAAAAAAGACAAACACAATTGATTTTCCGTAAACATAAAAAAAAAAAAAAAATACTGTTGTTCTTCTAAGAAATAGAGGAAGTTTAGGAAGTGAAGCCAGACATCTGTTTTGCTCCTGGTGGACAATAACAGAAAAAGGCTTCAGCTCAGCTGATCAGTGTTAGCAGATGGGACATAAACTGAATCTAATACATGGATGTTTCATTTGCTATTGTCGTCCAAGTAATTCACAGATCGTTTTTGTAAGTTTGCAAGAAGCCCAGTTATGATTTGCAAAATGGCGATTGATTTATTGTTACATATTTACCTTATATATTTACCTTATATAAATATAATGCAAAAGCAGTAACACCTGATACACTTGCTCTCACTGCCTGTTTAAACTCAGTACAACAAGATTTACATTAGTCCATGTACTGTTGTTTGATAATTGATAATTTTTTGTAATTTTTAATTTACATGTCTAGTAAAACTATTTTTGTTTTTTTCCATTTGTACGTCTACTGCAATTGATGATGCTGCCAAATAAATAATATTGTTAAATTCATGCATTCAAGCATTTTTATTTTATTTTTTCTACTGTGTGAATTTTTTTTTTTAATGGTAGAACTTAGAGTAGTGCTGGTGACGTCATGCTCTTACCATTGCGGCTGAGTCCAGGTCCTTCTGCTTTCACTTTACTGGCATCGTGAGAAGGATCCACTTTGACCCTGATGGGTGTCATAGGAATGGCCTAAACAACAAACAGTGCAGGAGTCAGACGCACAGACCCGTAAGATATTTGACACCAACTCAAAACTCATCACAAATCTCAGGTAAAATCTCAAAGGAAGCCATAAACTGGTTCATACATGTATTAACATCATTTGTCCAGAAAATACAGATAGCGTGGACAACTGCCAGATGTTACTGATCATGAACTCATGCATTGTGGGAAATAAGAAGAGTGTAATTCAGTAAAGGAGACTGAATCAAATTAAGACGCAGGAGACCAGACACAAACAGATGTCCGGCCAACCCTAACACAGATTCAACTCTTCCATAACATTCTGCCTTCTTCACATGCACATCCTGTCCTTTGTCCACAATTCAAATCAAACTCACATGGTCTGCAAACAGCACCATGATGGTGTAGCTGCCTGCTCCAGGAGGAGTGTACTTCACAGTGAACGTGTCGTTGTCATTCCTGATGATGTCGAAGTCGATGTCGGCCTCTGCTGGTCCAACTACGCCCGGGGCGCATTTGATCCCGATGCTGATGTCACCTGGGGACAAGAAGGAAAAGCATGTCAGAACGGATCAGAACACATTCAGACACAATAAATTAAATATGTCAAATATTGTAAATGTACAAAATTAGGAGAAGTCAACACTTGGTATAAGATTTCACTTCCTTCTGAAAGTGTAGGACCTGTACTTAAGGGGACAGAAGGACTAGAAGGACATGAAAAGCTTGAAGGACTTTGAAAGACTTACAATTTAGAAAAGGAATTAAACTGAGTTAGGAACACTTGAAGAGATGAGACTGACTTTGAGAACAAGCCTTACCTTGACCAGCTTCTGCACAGTCCACAGTAAAATATGTGGGTTCGAAGGCCTTCAGGCCAGTCTTGGCTACACCAGGTCCTGACACCTTTACTTTGTTTGGATGGCAACCTGCACCGATGTTCATCTGTGGACAAAAAAACAAAAAACAAAAACACATTCAGCTAACTTTTTAGTCATTAAATATTTAAAAAGTAAATTCTAGATAGAAAAATGCCAGTAAGTATGTGGTTGTGTTCAGATTCTGACCCTGAACGGACTGTCAGGGATGTTGACTCCCCCCCAGGAGACCATGATGGTGTGTTTCACAGGCTTCTTCGGGGTGTAGCTGCAGGTGTAGGTGCCGTTGCCGTTATCTTTAACCTGTACATCAACAGGAGTACCATCACCGTCCTGTAGGGGCAGAAAAACAAAGATGTAAAACATAAACTATTAAAGCTGAAAAGATCCACTGGTTTCAACCCCTAACACATCTGAAGCAGGTTTAAGATCGACTTGACTTGATCTAAACAAAGCTTAAAGCCATACCTGAGCCAAAATCTTCAGAGGAGCTTTTCCTCCCTGCTTGGCGTCAACTGTAAACTCTGTGGGTTTTCCAACAGCCAGACCAGTGCTCTGCAGACCTGGACCATGGGCCTTGACCTGCAACACAGACACACAGATAAAGACATGTTTCTGCATTGAAATACTTCTCCAGAGCAAACAAAGTAAAATTAAAGGCAAACTAAATGTAGAAAGAAAACAAAACAAAAGACTTTTAGTATTTCTAACTTATCAGTAAAGATAGGTGTAACCTAGGAGACAACCTGTAGCCAAGGAAAGGCTATAGGTTAGCTTAAAGCCAATGTTACTGACAAATATCTAATATATAATAGTCTATAAAACTTAAATAGATTTGCAGCTAAATTTGTGAATTTATATGCAGCTGTCTTGGTTTTGACACCATGACTCTTCGTGGGCATAGGTACAAATACTGGAGTACTCTTTGCCTTCATCAATATTCCATCCTGGCATTTAATAAACAATAGGCCGTGTGTTTCTTTTGAAGACAGTTCTGTCTTCTAAGACTGAGTACTTTACTACAACTATGGCACTATAATATGTGCACAGAAACACACACGTACCTTGTCAGGGTAGAAGTCCTTTCCTGGAGGGTTGACAATCTCAGCCATGAAAGGAGAGTGCTGGATGTCTTCGTTGTTGCACAGTACATGCACAGCATACTCTCCGGGCTCAGTGGGCCAGTAGCGCACGTCACAGGATCCATCTCCCTTGTCATCACATTCAATTTTGGCCTGAGACGGGCCTTCAACAGAGAAACCTGCAGAGAGCACATGAACGGATTGTTTAACTAAACGTTTAAGATTCGAGCCCCGAGTGTGATACGTTCTTAAAATCTGTACTTACCCAGTGTACCGACGTTGTCTCCAACAGCTTCCACCACAAAATCAGCAGATTTACCAACAACACCAGCCTCCAGTCCTGGACCCCAGGCTCTCACCTTCTGCTGGCCAGCCTCAGGGCTAATCTTGACCTCAATAGGACTGAAGAGAGCAGAGTGTGAGCAGAAATCAAGAAATAACTCATTAGGATCCAACTGTATTTTCCTATAAATGGCACTGGTGTGTACAGTACCTGCGGGGGATGTGCTGCCCTCCCCAGGTGATGGTGATGCTGTAGGTTCCAGGTGTGGTGGGGAAATAGTCAAACCCATAGACGCCATCTCCAAGATCCTTCCTCTTACACGGCTCCTCCAGACCCTCTGTTAGCATAAAAAAGATAATTACTACGACTAGGAAACACAGTTATGTGGATTAATTCTATACTAACTCAATAATACAATTGTTTTGGCTACAATTTAACAATTCTGCTGACTTTACATTAATTATGCCTTGTTTGTAGCAAAACTCTAGCTAATTCAGAGCTAGCTGTCCTGGCTAATTTAACAGTAGGCTACATTTTTTCTACCTCCTTTACTAGCCATTAGCAAATCTTACATTATATTCAGCAAACCTTCTGGTGTTGCTGGTGTACATTTTATTTGCAGTGTTTTATATGTATTTGCTGTATGTGCGTTTATATGAAGTTTACTTCTGACTTTCTTTTAGCTAAGTGCTTGTAAACATGCAGCTAGCGAGGGTATTTAGCAATAGCGGCTATTATAGGCATATTTTCCTTTTTTTTAATAAAAAAAGTGGTTAAACATTGCATAGTCTAACTTTCAGTAGTTTATATTACCTTTACATTTTAGCTGACATCTTTACTTACAGTGGCTGCACTGCTTATCTTTCTGCCTCAACCAGGCTACATGTTACCCATTACTTTGGCTAGCCCAGTTACATTTAACCAATTTCCCTTTTCACTTTATTGTGCTAAAGGTTAAATGAAACAATGAGAATGACATTTTGCCATGAGCCACAGAACCTCATAAATAAAAAGTGGAAAAACAAAGAATAAAAAAGATTTGTGTTACTCACTGGGGCCTTTAATGGTGACCTTAAGCTCTCCAGTGCCGGCTCCTTTAGTGTAAACCTTAAAGTCTGCAGTCTCCTTCACCCGCAGGCCCTTTGGCTGCAGGCCACGGCCCTTAGCTCTGCACAGGCTGGGGTTACACGCTGCACAGAGTAAAAAAGAGAAAATCAAGGTTCGACTCCAACATCATCACCACAAGAGAGTTTACTAGTGGTTTCTGTGGGGGGAAGAGGAATGAAGTGGAGGATAAATGCAATAAAACCGAAACATTTTCCATACTAATGTTACATCCATCACAACGTGAGGCTGCTGGAAACCTCTCAGCTATTCTTCCCCACCAACTGCCCAGTTACACCCCCCTGTGTGCCCCTAAACAGCCAGCATACTCCAGAGCCCATTGAAGGACGTTAGCCCACACAGGAAGTGGAGTTTCCTTATCTCCAAATTAAAAGAGTATAATATGGCAGTTGATGTCACACTGAAACAACCCACAGGAAGCAACAAAAAAACCCACAGGAAGGTTAAATAATAACTCGATGCCATAAAATTGGTGAGAATAATTTTTTTGTGTGAGTAAACTAAAAAATTGCTGATCACATACACCATAAAAAAACCCACAAAAACACAATGTTTCTAAGAAACAACAAGCAGGCTGTGCAACACAAACACCATTGTTTATGATTTGTGCCGTGATGTAAACGTATGAGCATTAGTTAAATGGAAGAAGTGATGTATCCTGCTCCAGGGTGACAACACAAACAATACAAACAGTGTAATGCTGGTCTCCTTCCGTAAAGACGCGAGCTTATGTTAGTGAATGTGTGAGTAGATCATTCCCTCAACACACTGAAATCTCCTAATAAGGAGACGGCAGCACCACGGATGACTGAGTCATAGGCAGGGGGAATTAGTCGCAAGTGAAGACATGCATCACACAAACACACATGGAGTGTGTACCCAAGAGAGAAATCCCAGGAAACAGGAAATGACAGCAGAAGGAAGAGGCAGTTCCAGAGAGAGGAGAGATACCACCAGGCTTCTATCAAAGAGAGGACAGGAGTGGAGCAGAGAGGAGACGGCATCCAGTGGAACAGCAGGAAAAAGAAAGAATGCTTTACAAAAAAAGTCTGCAGGGAAAACACAGCAGCATGAGAAAACACATTTTCGGACTAACTGTCAGCTGAAGTTACCTTTAACTTCCTGTCTTAAGCTCGCCCATTTATCAATTCCTTTAAAAAAACAACATCAGCAGACCTGGCCTGCTTTCCTGAGAACATTGGATACTGAAACGTGTTTTTTTTCCTGCCAGATTTAGCACTCAGTATTTACATAGTGACTGCATCACTGATTTTCACAAAGGACTTTAGACCCACAGAAGCCATGTCACTGGGACTGGGCTGCTGAATGCTTTTGAAAGGGCTTTGAAGCATTTATTTCTAACATAGAAATTCTTGTGCATGTTTAAACTCCAGTTCTGCTAGAAAACAGATCCAATATAATAACTGACTGTTCATAAATAATTGACAAAAAAAAAAACCTACGTAGCAATCAGCATTTACAGTAGTGATATATTACATTTGTAGGAGTAGTACATCGGAGTAATGTATCCTATACAGTACATGATAGGGTACTGATTTTTTTCACCCCTACCTTCTCCAACACCGACGGTGAAGGGACTTTTGCTGATCTGTCCTCCGGCGAACGTGACAAAGATGGTGTGTTGACCCTCCTGTGTGGGTTTGTAGGTGCAGCGGTAGCTACTGTTGCCCTTGTCCTCAATGGTGCAAGGCACTGTGGTCTTCTTACCAGCCGGGTCCATGATCACCACCTCTACCTCACCAACGCCAGCACCTGAGAGGACAAAGATGTAGCCGTGATGCGTTCAAAACTGCAGGGAAAAAAAAAGAACCAAAACTGATTCATTTGCTGTGACTTACCTGCTGTGTAGACGTCAAAGTAGGTGGTCTTATTGGCAATGTTCCCTGAGGGCTCGATGCCAGGGCCCTGGGCTGTGGCTTTGCTGGAGTCTCCCTGAGCCATGCCAATCTCCACCTCGAAGGGGCTCTTAGAGATGTGCTGCCCGGCAAACAGCACCGTCACCTATAGGGCAGATCAAATGAAATTCCAGGTCAACGTCACAGACAGACACTTGAGCTGTAGTTGGCACTGTAACCTATACTATTGTTCTAGTGAAATTGGCACCAAAAAGCATAAAACTCACCTTGTGCATGCCTGTGACTTTAGGGACGTAGATGACAGAGTAGGTGCGGTTCTTATCATTGTTTGCTGTCACTTTAGCCTAGAGGAAAAAAAAATGAAATACTAATCAGTCAAATGAAACAGAATGAAGACAAAGCACCAGGCAAAAGACAGCGATAAACCAGCACGTGTCTCACCTCCTCTCTGTGTCCTGCTGGATCCTCTACGTAAACCAAGACCTCGCCCATTCCTGCACTGATGGTCTCCACGGTGAAATTAGCCTTTTTCATCACAACATTACCTACAGGCTCGATACCTGCAGAGAAGAGAAGAAGTAGGTGAGCGAGGAGAGGGTTAATGATTCATTAACCTGGATTTAAGAGGAAAAACAACATTTGGTTTGCTCTCTTCTTGGGACATCTTGGCCAATCTTAATTAGTCATAGGGGTTTCAAAGGCTTACCTAGTTTAGGTTGCACTTTTTACTGACAGTTAAACAACACTGTCCAGCAGCTGAAGCTCTGATTGGTTCATGGGTGGGTCAATCTACATAACCCAACATATGGCTAATTCTTGCTGCATCTCAAAGAGTGCAAAAAAGGGGGAATGATAATACAGTAGGTTTGAAATAAACTGCTTATAATATTTATGTTACTAGTTTTTGAAATCGTTTATTAATGTCTTTCAACTGAAAACTTAAGTTTTTGTTTTGTGAAACACTTACTTCTTGTTCAAAAGTCCATACAGAAAATCATCCCATTCACCGCCCTCAGGACGAGTTTGTCCTTCTACAGGCCTTATCCTTATTTGCTGTTTTGTGACATTGGTGTGTGCCTTTGTCTTTAGGTATGTGTGTGTGTGTGTGTGTGTGTATAAATACCTGGACCGTAAGCACGGGCCTTCTTAGGGTTGAGTTTGGGCCTGAGAGGCGCCCCAGGCTTCAGTTTGGCTTTAGGAAACTGGGACAGGTATGTCATGACTGAATGTTCGTCCACATTGGGGTCAACAATCTCCTCAGGGGTGATCACCTGCAAGTCAGAGAGAGAGAAACAGAACGATGGGATGGCATTGTCACAGAACTGTTGTTTGTCATAACAGAAGTGGAGTACAACTAATTGCCACAGCCTGAGGAAGTCACCCGTTGTCATGGCAACACATAACCACATAAAGCAAGTGATTCGCGACGTGATTTAGCCACAACTGGGTAGAAAGCACCTGTGGCAACCTCCAACAAAAAGCAGCTGGCACACATAATAACACACACACACTGACTGTGTCATTTCAAGACCACAGACGAAGCAGCGACAGACAGTTTCTCAGTAGAAGCACAGCTGAAGGGGGAAACAGCGGTGACCACAGAGCCAACTGTCGGCACGCTATGCTGTTCCAGTGAACAGCACTGTACCAACCATGGCTGAACCACACTGCCAAACAATCACCACGGCAACACACCGAAAAAAAAAAAAACACATCTCCATGTCAAATGTCAGATTCAGGGACAAGGCTTGAAACGCAGGCATTAACATCAAACTAAACCAACTGGCTCAGTAAGTTTGTCTCTTACTTTATAAAACATCATTCTGTTTTCATTCTACCACTGACTCCTGTCCCAACTTGAAGGACGACAGTTATTTAAAAAGAAAACACACCGCTTGACCCAATGTCTCAATAACAAAAAACGGACAGTTGTTTGCTTTTAGCTCACTACTGAAAGGTCGACAGCTGTGTAAACAAACACAGGAATTTTTAAGAAAATATTTTATCTTTATCGAGGTCACTGAGATCTTGTTTATTAACCCTAAATTAAAAAGCTGCTTTGGCTAATGGTTAAATATCCAACCTTGAGATATCATGCTCACGATGTTATGGGTACACAAGTGTATGAGAGGTCATCACAGAAAACATTCAAACTAAAACCACTGAGACACAAGGACAGGAATTACTGTTACATGAGGTCTAAAATACATAGCTACATTAGCCAAATGTCCACAGAGCCTTTAAGTGTTAGCCGTGTACTGCACAGAGTATTCAAACCTTCCCATGTCCCACATCAGATTACCTGTGGGATTCCCAGCCAGTCATCAGCCTGCTGCATAGCCTCACGGGCGTTGTCCACGGGCTTGGTCTGATCCCACTGGTCCCAGTCAGGACACAGACCTGCAGGGGAGAAAGGAAACAGATTCAGGCTGCATTCAATGCGAGCACACAATAAGAGATGGAAACTGATGTTCATCACTTTAAATTTTTTAGGTTAAATTGTGTCGTGCTAGGAATGACCCTAATACTATTCTACTGCTATTTCCAAAATAAAGATACTCGGCATTGTAAATGTAGTGGCAGAGATAACATTGTAGCTCCTTCTGTTAAGATCCATCAACAACATCTAACACATAAGGTAAATAAGCTGCTGTACAGCTGAGGACAGAACGTCTGCCCCTTTTGTTTTTATTTTGTTTTACTGCCAGTGTACCTGTTGTAAAGACATCTCTCACAGCAGGGAACGACTCAGTGTGGAACCTTATCAGTGGCTCCAGGCTCACAGTGATCCACAGGTATGCCAAACATCCCGAGTATGTAAACAGAAACCTCCTTTATGATTCACTTTCACTCTCCTCCAGTCCTCATCTCCTTTGTCTAATGTAATAGGCCTGCAACAGTGTACAGCTGCTCTGCCCCTCTCCTCAAACCCTTTAAATTTGATCCCACTCTTCATCTCTTTGGCTGGCCTCAGACATGTTAAGGTTTCTAGTGTTTAACAGACAGACCTGGAGCACAGCTGTCAACCAGGGCACCCAGGGCCCGGCCGGTCTGCCAGTCTCTGTTGAAGTTGGTGATGGGGAGCTCCGGCAGTTTGTTCTGGATCCATCCCAGCAGCCTCTGCTTGGGCGTCTTCTGCCTGCCCTCGTCCGCCTCCTCCTCCTCATCCCACATGGGCATGGAGATGGAGTAGTGCAGGATCAAGGTCCAGATGAGACCCAGGATCAGCTTCAGGTTCCCATCCACAATGGCTTTAGAGTCTGGAAGATATAGAAAAAGAGAAGACTGCATTTTAGAAACCAAAAGAACCACAAATGAATGGATATAAACAAAAGGAAACCACAGGTAAATGTTTTTTCTTTAACAGTAAGGTCAAAATCTAGAACATTTTTATATTCTTTCCTAGAGTGTTGTTGTTATCTACCATCTCATCTACAGCCTCAGGGAGGCAGGGACTGAATACCAGGAAGTCACAAACCGTGCCCTAGTCTAAGGTAGTTTATGTTGGCCTAAACCTTAGGTCTTTTTGAAACAATTTCCTACTCAACCAAATCAAAAAGTTTCAGTGAGTGTGTGCAACATGTGTGGGAATGAGACTGTCCAAAACGATGATGGCTATATAACTGCATCTAAGGGTTAGAGCACATACTGCAGGCCAGACTTTTACATAGGGTTTAACTTTAGAGTGGCCATAAAAGAGTCAGCCAAGGTAATGAAAATGTCAGGAGTCTCTCTTACTCTGTCTTCAAGGTGACTCTGAGTCGTAGATTTAGCCAGTGTGAGATTTTTTTTTTTAACCCTACTAAACTGAAAAACACCATCAATGATTGCACCGAAACATGGATAATTGAATGAGAGCATAAGAGCATAATAATAATAAATATAAAATACAACTGGATTTTTCCTACTGCATATCAGAGTATAAAAAGTGTGGGAATATACGAACACAACCACAGCTGTATTATTGTCAGCACAGACACTCTCTCAAGAGTTCTTTGGGTTTGGTGGGTTGTACTCTGACTTGAGCTCTATTGTCACTGAAGTATTCACATCTAGGACGAAATCCTGTATAAACAGATTTACTGCTAAATATAATTGATGCATTTAGAGGCTGTTATTTTAGTAGAGAAACCATCCTTTGCACAATGTGTGGCAGGAAATAATTTCGGCTAAGATTTGTGCGTAAGGCCGCGCTGCAGTACATTACATCCAAAGTGAAGCGAGAGCTCTGTCTAAAGCTGCTGATTCTGTAAGAGGCATTTGTCTGCATTCAGACTGAACCACAGCTCCCACAGCAGAGGAATGAAGCTGGCCTGGGCATGAAGAACACACACTCGTATGTATTTATAACACTAACACCACAGCATGCACACACACGTTACACAAGTAGCAGTCAATCTTAGGGGCTGATAACTGAAGTCCAGGCTTCAGGCAAGGGTGGAGCAGTGACGTTCTGAGGAGGATGTTGATAAGAACCTACTGACGGAAACTGCGATGTACGTACACAGAGCAAGTACAGACGGGGGACTGAGAAGCTGCATGCTCGCTCTGTGGTGTCGAGCTAAATGTTGGAGGCTCCCTTTAATGGAGACAAGTGTGTCTGAGAGTCCTTTCGGCAGTCTCTCAGACTTTTCAGCACTCTGACACACGGGCCATTCTCATTTAACTGCTGCCCACATTATCGTCAGCTCAGTTTTGTTTTGCTAATGTCTGGACTGGAATCTTCTCTGGTCGTATTTTCTCTGTGCTCAGCGGGGACTGAGAAGATTAAGTAGAAGAATATTTGACACTTGCAGAGAGAGGCTCTGAAAGCTTTTTGGCAGCCGGAGTCTGAGAAGGGGGTCAGCAAGGAGGGGTCAGTGTTACAATATGATGTGTGGGTCATGAAATGGTAAGAGGCTTCAGGCAACTGCCCCAGAATGACTGTGACTGCCCCGAAAATGCACAGCACAATAAAAAACAATAAAAAACATAAATGCATTATATACATATATGAATATATTTTTCTAACGTTTGTTATGTCCAAGTAGGGAATTCCCAGCTATACTTCCATAGTTAACATTGCTAACGTGATGTTTAGGGACATTTCTTACAGAAATCTTTGCCTATTCCATGCCAGACAATTAAAAGTATATTAGGATTTTAGTATAACCGTAGGATGTCTGACCTATATAACCATAACGGATATTTAAAAACGCTTAACATTTTTAAGAAATGTTAAATGAAAAGGTCAGCCAATAGAGGGCTCCGAAGTATACGGAACATACCGGACATTGTGAGTAAAGGCAACATTTGCAATAATATCAGGAAGTCACACTCCTGCAAATTCCATAAGAAAGACATCATCCCAGCCAGGATGAAAACCAGTGACTCTTATACTCTGAGCCAATTGCCTTTAACACTATATTAGTATGGGACAACAGAGAGATTTATGAGGTGATCAATAACCCTAAAATTATTTGGAGTCCCCAAAAACACATCTCAGACACATTGATATGTGCTTACTGTCTTTTTCTACATGTTCCAATCTGTTGAAGTAAACCTCAGCTGGCAGCTTGATTCAGTTTGTGTTCTGACATGAGACGAGGGGGAATGTGCTCACGAGCTACCGCAACTGTGGCACATGACATGTACACTACTTCTCCCCTTGGAAAAATACGCTCTCCTCAGTGATAAAACAGCACGAGGTCAGACGAGAGGTCTGTTTGGATGACCCATCACTATGGGAACTTTGGGAGAGCTGCGTCACCGTAGCGACAGAGCGGCAACTTCGTCTGCTCTGGAATGATGGGGGGAAAAAAGTAAAATGATAAGAAAAAAAGGCAGGAGGAAGGTGAGAGAGAATGATGGGAAAAAGAAGAGGTGGAAAAATATCGTCAGAAAACAGTGATAAATGTGACGGACAGCCATAAAAATCCACAGCTGTGGTGAGGATGGTTTGAACATGTGTATCACAGGCTGGCACTTGCAGTAGGAATGTGATCAAGAACAGCAGGGGAGACTCACAGGATCCTTTAAAAGCTGGTATGAGTATTTACTGTAATTCAAATCATGTTTGCACCTGACGTTGAAATGTCGACCCATCTAGATTCACCATTTCAGAAAAGATGGTTCACCCTTTATTCTAGAGCAGGGGTGACAAACTCATTTTCACCGAGGGCCACATCAGGAAGATTGTATAGATCAGCGGTGCCCAACCCCCGGTCCACGGAACATTGGTCCAATAGGCCACAGTGGGGCATAGTGGAAAAAAAATGTACTTAATTTTTACTAATTTACTTCATTAGAAAAAAAACCCCAATCCATTTACTTTTTTTATTTAGAGATAATCTGGCAATATTTTAAAAAATAGGTCACAGGCAACAGGTGGTACTGGTTGACCAGTCCTTGGAACAAAAAGGTTGGGGACCACTGGTATAGATGTAACTACTCTATAACAGACTATTACCTGTTTCTACAATTAATCCTCCTGTTCCTGCCCCTGGTAGTCAATTATTTGTATTGTTTTTATTATCTATTCATGTTTTTTTTCTTGGAACGGGTCGTACAAAACTAAATTTCGTATCACCTTCCCTGGTGCATATGACAATAAAGAGATTCTGATTCTGATTATTATTCTTTCTTTAAGCTACAAATATTGTTCATTGCTGTGTAATAAAAAAAACTTTTAGTTTCATAGGTTAAGAAACTCTACTTAATGGACTTTACTAAATGCTTTTTAAGCTCCCACGGGCCACACAAAATGGCTTTGCGGGCCACATTTGGCCCCCGGGCCTTGAGTTTGACATGTATGTTCTAGAGCCTTCTTCAAGTCAGTATTATAGACGTCCCTCCTTTACTAGGGTGACCAAGCCTTGGATAACAGGTGAAACATTTTCAACCAAACTTTCAAAATGATTTTGTGATTCATAAGCTGGTATTTGGTATGTTGTTCTACTGTTAGCAAGCAAGTAAAATGTTTTGATGATGTTTTCCTGTCCTTTTAATCCAGTGCAGAGTACTACCACAGTCGGCTGAGATGTAGCCAATACCACTGAGGTGAAGAGCAATTACAGCTCCCCTCCAAAGGTCTGGTCAGGTCATCTGGTCTGATAATGTGTGGTTGAATGTGTTGTTACTGTTTGACTTATGCCTCTTACACACAAAGCCACTAAACATGCATGGAATCTGCCAGCATTCCCAGCAACACCACAGCGTATTGGCCCGACGGAGCACCCATATACGGACACAGTCTGTCTCAGACGCACTCTGCTGACTCACACCCCCCCTTGTGTTAGCGACAGTGTGTGTGTGAGACTCCAGAAGCTCCCATATGGAGACTCTGCGTGCCTGTTGTTGCCCTATTTCCCCCCAAAAGAAAAAAAAACTCTCATGACTCATCTCTTTGACTCGCTGCTGCTGCACGCTCTCCAGCATTCCTCCCTCCCCCAATCTCTGACTCTGCTATGACATCATCACAACCCTTGACCCCCCGCTTGACCGTGGGGGCGTAGAAAAGAAGATAAGTTCGATAAAAAAAAGAAAAGAAAAAAAAAGACAGGAAGTGGTTATGTACAAAGTTAAGGCAGTGCTGCCACATCTGGACAGGTTTAGATTGGTGCTCTGGTCAGACGAAAGATAGAAACTCAGAAGTGGCCCAGATACTCATACGGCTCTTTTGGAATCTCTTACACATCAGCCCACACTATTCCAGGATCCCAACCAGCCATTTCTGTGAATAAACATTGGTTTCGAATTTGGTCACCCTGTGAAATTTAAAAACTGGAGAGAAGTTGAAGGAACAGCCAACAACCAAAACATTGGTGGAGCCTGTGGGTCAGCGGTTGAAGGTACAGCCAACAACCAAAACATTGGTGGAGTCTGTGGGTCAGCGGTTGAAGGTTGGGGCTTGACAGAGAACAAACGTTGTTCTGTCTCATATATGCATGTATATGGATGATAAAAAAAACCCTGCATAATGGTAAAATACACGGCCATCTTTTTTCAGATGTCAACTAATTATTATTTGTAGTGGAGCATGTCCACCTCATACCAGGGAGCAGCTCAACTTGATTTAATCACTTGTCTTTGCAAAATCACCCATCCTTAGGTGATGTCATGAATACTTATAGGGTGTGATGGTGGAGCACTTTTACTCTTCAGCCATTGGTCCTCGATGACTTCTCAAACTAGACCTTTCAGAGCTCATTGTTTGTCTGTTTTTTTGTACTGTACTATTGTTAAATTATGAGATGATTTATAGTAAAAAAATCCAGCTCTA